ATATTGCCACAGGGCTCCAGCTTCACAACAGTCCCCAGTCTAATAGAAGATAGCATTATTGCATGCAGTCAGAATTATTCACTGCATTACCCACGATTCATAGCATGTATTAACACAAGCAATTTCATGCATATGGATACAGTGGGTCTTAGCAGGGGAGCTCCTGATTGCTCTGAAACTAATTTCACAATCATTAGTTTTGGTGGTGCTGTGAGTGACAGAGTGGATTTACCAGATTTTGGGAAATGACAAGTTCCACAAGCTTTGTGTCGAAAATAATAAAAGATAAAAAGTCGGATCTATGCGGAGCTCTGTGTTCTCCAGAGACCGTGTACACCGACAGCAGTGCCGTCAGTTAAAGGAAATCTGCGTTCATTTTCAAACTTTTCCTTCCAAAAAACAAACAAAAAAAAATGGACAAACAAAATAATAAGTAATGATAGTGTCTGCCACCTAGAACGTCCATCCATGAAATAGATATTATTTTAAAAAGATTCATCAAGGGAGAGGTCCTTCCTAAGTACAGGGCCGAGAGCTTGAGGTGCAGGCCGAACAGAAAGCCATTTCGCCTGGAGGTGAAGTTAATGATTCATGGCCAAGTGCTGCATTCTTTCCATATGTAAGATGAGGAGATATTTCGCAAAGCCTCTGAATCAACTTAATGCTGTTATGGGCCATTGTTCACAATAAACATGTAAATTGTGTTTATGGAATAGCATATAAGTCACTGGGTTAATGGCACTGATTCACAAATAAATTATAATCACAGTGTGTCGTAAACATGCTCGGGCAAAGGCAAAGAAATACAACAACAAAAAAACATGAAACGCAAAAGAAAAGAGCGAAAGAGAATAAAGCAAAAAGACAATTTCATTTAACTGAAAATAGTGGCATTTCTAATACGCTCCGGCAGCACGACAGTAATGCTCAAAACCAGAGATATGCAACCAAGGTAGAATTCAGCCTTCATTCGTTTCCTTATTTATTTCTCTTTTCAGATGAGACACTTGCCTTTTGTTTAACATTAGCAAAATTGTAAATATCCATATGTGACAATACACCGCATTTGGAGTTAACTGTTGTAGCAATGATGGAATGACGCCACTAGATGGAGATGTGTTATCTGTTTTCCTTACCTTACGCTCTGTAGTTCAACCTGCGTACCAACTAGTGAGTTCATGTGATAAATTAAACCTGTACGCCTCAGATCTGCTTGCAACATCAGAAAATACAAACAAATGAAAGGAAAACCAACAGAAAGTGTTGAGCCACCAGAACAGCTTCATTGCACCTTTACGTCGATGGTCTAGGTTTCTAAACTCCTGCTGGAGGGATGAGCACCATTCCTCCAGAAGATATTGTGTTTTAAAGACGGGAGTGTCGCCTTTGTCATCCTGTGAGAGATTACAGAAATGCTTAATCATGGGATAAAGGTGATCACTCAGAACAACCTTGTGCTGATTTAGAGTGACTCTGCTGTCTATGGGGATCAAGTGGGCTTAAACCATACCAGCGCATGGGGTCAAGGGTTCAGGTTTTGCATTTGTCATCTGTCTGTGTATCAAAGCAGTACTCTCCGAAAAATGATGCATGAATGTAAAATAAGTGCAGAACAAGAGATTATAAGTTAGACTGTAATGCTACATGAATGGTTAATAAAGTATTTACTAATCCTTTAGATGACTGTTAATAAGAACACGGTCTGAGTTGTCAGGTTGTGAAAGATCCCCATGGACAGTGATGACCAGAGTGATAGATAATGACAGTAACAACAGTAGTAGATGAATACAAACTAATGCTTTTCTTACTTTCTTTCTCATATGCCACTGTGTGACATTTGTAGATGTTATTGCTGTGCGATTTATGTAGATTTTAAGTCCAGATACTTATAACTAATACAAAAATCATGCTGGAAGAGGAGGAAAGTCCAGCCAGAGAGGTTTTCATACACAGTCATCCTAAAGTTGTTCCTACTGATGGCTTAGAAATGTTCCATTAAGCACAAGCGAATGATTTATTGAACACTGATAAAGTCATCAGTTGCTCATAAACGTCTTATAAAGATTGCTTTATTGTTCCCATCTGCATATAAGAAGCATAAGCGATCACACATGCAGGCACGTGTGAGAAAAACACAAGCGAAAAAAAAGGAACCTACAGAGCGACGAGAAGCACAGCGAGGAGGCAGGCAGCGGGGAGGATGTGACAGTCTATCACTTCCACGAGTCCGAAGCCAGAGGAGGAGGATTTGAGGGTGCTTCGGTTCAAGCCAGAGGGAGGGAGAGTGGAGGGAGGTCACTACTGCCCCAGATTTAGAGGTGCCACTGTCTGGGGAGAGATTGATGGCTGCAAGCAACAGATAACAGCTTGCAGTGTGAAGAGAGATTAAAAAAGGAGGCAGAGATTGTAGGGGGGAGCTGGACCCCACCCACATGGGGCTGCGCTGAACAGCAACATCCAGTTCTAACACACTACAATTAGCTGCTGAGGCAATTACAGGTTTGCGGAGGGTAAATGTGACCTACTCTTATTTTTTTTAATCATATAATATGCAGGAGGCTGTCATCCATCCCACAGAATTTGCGTTTGTGGCAACTGGGTGAATAGATGCTCGAGGAATTTTAGTCATATTTAAGTTTTATGAGAATTCAGAGGTGTCATAACACTTTAAATGTCACTGCAATTTGCCCATATGGACTCACAGAAGACCATTTACTCTAATTGCTATTCCATCCTTGTCTAAGTATTGTTGTGACAGCAGCCCGGCTGATTGGGCCCCGCCAACACATCCTGCTTGTTTCCCACATAGCCCATGAGTGGTCCATCACAATGCCATTGTTATCCATCAGATTGTCTGCAGTCATTACTTATTCAGCCAGCCGTCGTGCCTTTTGTCCAAAATCATTCTTTACTCCGTCCCTAAGACCTTCTCCTGCCTGCTGTGGCCCATCTGCCCCCCTGTCTGACACATACTGCATGACCCACACACACACACACACACACACACACACACACACACACACACACAAAAGCTCCCCACACCAGCTGTCCAGCTCGTGTCCCATGGCAGTAAAAGGTGCCGGCCCCGGAGCAAACCATCCGAGTACACAAGAAAGCAGTGCTCACCGCTCTGCAGCCTGCTACTTATCAGTAGCAGGAACGTTTTTAAGCCTTTCCAGCTTTGATTTTACTTGAGCAGGATGATTTACATACACACACATGCATACAAACTGCTGACCCACACTGTATAGGAGATGGACACCTGCATGTAACAGCTGTGATGCTCCATCATATACACACTGATAAACATGTTAGTATTTTATATGTATAAACACTATGAGCAGGAAGACAAACCCTGTCAGAGGTAAGAAGCTCCACCAACACAACTGCTCTCCTGATCATTCATTTTAGTTGCGTCTTTCCATGGATGGTAGCCGTCTTGCTGATCTTTAAAGAAAACTGAAATGATTTTCCTGGTCTGATGAAATCAAAAGAAGTGGTTTTGCGGTATTTTGATGTGATATTTAGACTGAACAAAACAAGTGTATGTTTTTTTAAATAGGAATATACAAACGCAAAGTTTTGTTTAAGTTACATGAGAGTCATATGAAGGGCTTTGCTTCAGCTTGAGATATAAAACTAGGACTTCTGAGGAAAGATGAGGGAAGAAGCACGTGAAGCTGAATTAAATTAAAGTATAAATAAAGCATCATTCCCCTGACAGGAAAATATTCATTTACAATTTGATAAACTGTTAATTGTTTAAGTTTTTCAATTAAAAATGCCCCAAATTTTTCATTGTCTACTTCAAAATTGGGAGACTTTGTTGATTTTCATTGAGTTATTTCACAGTAAACTCAGTATTTCGGAGGTTCAAACTGTTAGGTTAGACATAATAAGACATTCCAAGATGTCACCTTGGGCTTCAGGAAACTAATATGGGCCAAGTAACTATTTCTGACATTTCATAGATCAAATGACTCATTATTTAATTGATTAATCAAGAAATTTTTTATAGTAACCCATTAATAAAACAATCATTAGTTGCGCTGTAAGCCCTGCAGTGTTTATCGTGATAATTGCTAAAAAGAGGGCACACTTTAGTTACCAGCTCACTGCTCCACACAGAGTGAGAGGTGTCCTTTAATCGGCCTATTACTTTTCGGGTGACACTGCCAAGATAGCTGTAATATTTATTTAAGAAGAAGGAAGTAAGAAGTCATGCCAAATACTTGCTTATAAATAGACATCAGTCATTGATGGAGGTTATAAATAGAGAGAAGGAAAACGGGCTGGTCCAGGACAGGGATATTTATAGCACAGGCACACTGCTGTTTACTGGAGGCAGCAGCCTGGGGTGCACTTATCAATAACACCATAAAACCCCAAATACCACTGTACACACAGTAGCCTCCCTCATCCATTTCTGGAAAGATGCATCTGAAGTGAAATTAAATCACTTTTATGAGGGGATCAAAGGGATTACTCCTGAGGGTCTTCTATTCATGGCCACAGTAAATGCAAAAGTTGGATCACTTTTCAGTGTTGACATATCTCTGATTACAACATTTTTTCCATTTCTTAAATGTGATGTTGAATAGATGCATTGAACAGGGTTTCAGGGGCGTAATATAACCCTCTGACACTGATAACACAGCATAAATTAAAAATGATTTAAGAGAGCAAATTATTTTTAAAATGCACCACATGTTGAACCTGAATTTGCTGAAAGACAAACAGGAGGATTTGTGAGGAAATGTTTTAATCAGCAGCTCAGCTGGTTACTGTGGATTTAAAAGCAGGATCATGGATGCTGGATTTATTTTACTCCACTATACTCTTTAATTTGGAGTTTGGAGAGTAATGTGTAGAAAAGTTCGGCTACATATGTGTTGACACACTTGCCTGGTACAGGTGGAGGACAGACCAGCTGACTGAGGAGCAGGAGGAGGGGCAGCAGTCCGCCTGGCTGCCGGAGCCGCTGCTCCGCTCCGACACACAGCCGACTGGAGCGGAGAGAACCTGCGTCGGTAGCCGCCGCTGCTGAGCCCCGGCAGCGACCAGCCTTTCCTCGGACTGGAAGTTTAGCTAGCGAGCTAACTAGCTGCCCTAGTCGTACTTATTACAGGAGCAACGAACTGTGCTTTCGGCAATTCTGGACGACTGAATTAACTAGTTGCTTTAGTTGCAATTTAAAATGTCTATATTACCGTTCACTCCTCCGATTGTGAAGAGGCTCCTGGGCTGGAAGAAAGGAGAGCAGAACGGGCAGGAGGAGAAATGGTGCGAAAAGGCTGTGAAAAGTCTGGTGAAGAAGTTAAAAAGAACGGGACAGCTGGATGAGTTGGAAAAGGCCATCACAACACAGAATGTCAACACGAAATGCATAACCATACCCAGGTAAAGACACACACAACCTCACTGACTGCTCGGCTAGCAAGCTAGTGCTGATGACAGCTAGCGTTAGCCGAGCAGCTTGCTAGTTAGCCGGAGCTAATATTAGCAGTCAGGTGCTTTGGTATTGAGCGAGTTTTTTTTGACAGGTTGTTAACTCAAGCATATCAGTTATCATACTCATAGAAGAAAATATAAAACGTTTGGTTTTAAGCAGTGGGTTTTTTTTTATTAGCTTTAGCTGCTAGTAAGCACAGCCCTGTATAATACTTCCAGCTAACATTAGCTGATGAACTTAACCCGCGTTTGAATTAAAGAAATCCTTTGCTGTGCACACATGTGGCAACCAGTTGGTATTTAAAAGTCTGAATTACATTTTAAATACATGTGATTTTCAGTTAACGTTACAGTAATGATACATAATGCCTTTCAACACATACACTTAAGTCTGTTATGTCATTTTCAGCGTTAGTTCGCACTGAGAGCATGACCGGTGGACCTCCGGTAACCTGCTCGTGTGATTCTGTCATTTTAAGGGCAAGGCACACCGCAGTAGTGCTTAGTGTTTCTCAGCAAGTTTTAAAAACCTCTAGACAAGGTTCACCTGCTTGACATGCAGGCTGTAAATCTAGTGCAACATAAACACATCCACAGTTCACACGTGTGATAAACAGGAGAAGGAGTGGTTGGAGAAGCTGACTTGTGACTCACAGAGGATGTTTAGACTGGACTTTCTGGGAAAGTTGTAATAAGCGTTCAGTTTGGGATTCCCCATATGGGAAATCCATCTGTTCAACACAAGTTCAGATATGAGGTGGACTCACTGCGGTGATGGTGCTCTGTGCAGACCTACAGATGTGTCCTCAGTAGTTTGCATCAGTGAACTGAACTATTTATGCAGTTGAACTAGTTTACTTGCTGGACACAGTCTGCAGTAATCAGTAACAGTGAAAATTTAATCTTAAACAAAATGAAGTGTTTCCAGAGTACACAACTTGGTGAAAAGGACATAAATGGACATAAAAACAGGGTCAACCGTAAATATGTAACTTCTACAGTGTGAACCATTGCTGGTGTTGGCGCACTTCCTTGTATTTTATTTCATTTAAAAAAAAATCTAGACTCTTTTTTTTGTAAATTTACAGAAAGCCAACAAGACAGGTTCACATCTTGGCCCTGCTAATAAATAAATAAAAAGCAGTACAGAAGAGCTACTGGCTTTATTATTTGTTATTTTTATTTATTTATTTATTTCAAATGTAAGATTTAAATAGGCAGCTTGTAAGACTGATTGCTACCAAACTGGGATTCCCCCATCACGGTCCGTGTAGAAGTCAGAGCATGGGTGGTAACCTACTTTAATAACTTATCCTCAGTTCTTGGGAATGTGCTCCGGGCTCTAGGGAGGGCGTGGGCCACTGTTTGGATTGTGGTTCAATTTCAGCGAGGCAGAGACTGGAGGCTTACAGAATAACAGCTGTCTTGCAATCTGTTGGGGATGCTGTACTTTCATCACCTCCTCCAAACTGTTTCAGAGAGAAAGCGTTTGTCAGCGATTTAAGTGGTCAAGTACATGCCTGAAGTGCTAGTATCTAGAGTGGACTTAACCAGCAAGAAATTATTATGTACTAAAATGCCTGAACTGTGAAGCTGAGAGCAGTATACATAGTGATTTATAACACCAATGAACTCAACATGGTTGGTGAAAACATTTGCATTTTTGCTTCAAGCTCTACATGTTAAAACTAAAAAAATCGAATTTTGGTGTACTTAATTTCTATCGAAAGCAATGAAGCAGTTAACTCTTACTTTTCTAACAGCCTATTGTTGTGTGAGGTGTAGAATTAGAGATGTACAGTTTGTGGTTGATGTATTATTGGCCTGCAGGTATGAAAACTAAATCAATGCCATTTTTCCAATAATCAGATCTCCGCTGTTAATTATATGAGATAATGCAGAGCATGCTGTCGACAAGGGAGGCCACATAAAACCAGCTATAAACTATGACTGAAAATATTTTAAAATGTCCTCTATTCTTTTTCCATTTTCCATTTTTGAATTTGTAAAAAAGGGGCTGCAAGGTGGCTCGGTGGTTAGCACCGTTGCCTCGCAGCAAGAAGGTCGCCGGGTCGCATCCCAGTGAGGACACCCGGGACCTTTCTGCGTAGAGTTTGCATGTTCTCCCCGTGCAGCATGTGTTCTATCCGAGTTCTCAGGCTTCCTCCCAGACAGTCCAAAAACATGTTGAGGTTAATTGGTGATTCTAAATTGTCCGTAGGTGTGAATGTGAGTGTGCTTGGTTGTCTGTAGCCCTGTGATAGACTGGTGACCTGTCCAGGGTTTCCCCTGCCTTCACCCTAAGTCAGCTGGGATAGACTCCAGCCCCCCATGACCCTAGTGAGGATTAAGCAGTGTATAGATGATGGATGGATGGAATTTGTAAAAATAAAATAACCAACATAATCGGTTATTTATGTCTAGCACAATATGTCCTTGAATTAAATAGTTTTGCATCTTTATAAAAAATTGTGTTCGAGCAGAGAACTGATATGTTTTGGGTGAAAATTAACAGAAAAGATTAAAAACTGTGGAACTTAGCTCCCAGGCTGGTATTGAAGTAGAGACACAAAAATTCTAGTGCTGTGTAAAGTATGTGTTCTACCAAGAAGGTCACCAGATGGCCCCTAAAACCAACGCTGTTACCACTTTATATGTGCTTCAGCAAAAGCAAGCACTGGGTCCTTCATCTTCATGGGTTTCTGTAATACAATATAAAGTGCCGGTCAGGTTTTCGCTTTTGGCAGGAAGCGTTTTCTCCCCCGCCCCAGGAATTTCGTGTGATAAGAGGATTGGTGTCGGGGCACTTGTGAATCCCCGGGCGGCAGCTGTACAGTTGTTGTTTCTTCTGCTGAATAGGAAGGTTGCCTCAGTCCAGCTGTGTGCCAGAGTGATGCAGCCCAGGCCAGCCTCAGCAGAAGGAGTGCTGACCTCGGCTGACCCAGCCAATACACTGTGTTGTGCTGGAAGATGAACTCCTCTCCTCTGCAGCAGCCACTGATATAGCCTGAATGCTCGAGTGAAATTGTTTAAAATCAAGGCAGGATGGTGATCTGCACTTGTGTCTGGAAGATGGATTAGGTGTCACACTGCTGAAACGTAACTGTGTGTGTGTGTGTGTGTGTGTGTGTGTGTGTGTGTGTGTGTGTGTCAGTTACCCTGAGCATCTTTGTTTGATCGAGGTGGATTTGTCTTTTTATAAAATAATCTATTTTATAGTTTGGAGGTGTCTATCAGTTGAATTAGTTGATGGTTTTAGTGCATCAAACAACAAAAATAAACAAAAAAGCATAATTTCTCTGATTTGACTGTACTTTTTGAAATGTGAGCCATAAAGGTATTGGACCACTACCCAGAGCAATCAAGCTGATTGGACAGCAGGTCCAACCACAGTAATGTCCAGTTATGTATTTGCATATGACATGAAATGACAGTCATTTCTCGTGTCATGTCTTGCAGATAATTAACTGGCTGTAGGAACTAGCTGATGCTGGGAAAAACCTTTTGTCATATGATTTGAGATGTGATACTGACGGTTGCTTGTGTTTTAGCAGTGTCAACAAATACACACCAATGCTGATGATAAACATAGACACATGATTTGGTTGAGTCCAACAAGCTGTTACTCATTCGAGATAGATTTTTTACCTTCCTTTTCTTTTTAATCATGCTAAATGTACTTCCAGCCCAAACATTTTTAGTGTTAATCAATGTGTTTGCTGTACACTGTCTTCCCTTTAACAATGAAATCATGAATGTAAATCCCTATGTTGCCTGAAGCTGTCCTGTTCGTTGTCAGCTGTTGGTTTGTTGGTGACATCAGTCAGTCTCAGGTCACTTTCAGATAACTGTACCCGAGTACTCTGCCCCTGCTTCCAACTCTCCTGCTGATATGTGCACTTATGTCATCATTTATCCAACGCTTGTATACAGAGTACAAAAATCTGCAGCTTATCCACTTGATACAGTTCCTACACCCAACTTGACAGTGTAGTGGAGTGGAGTACCTCTTTATTGGTGCTGCTTTTGTTTTGGATGCACAGGAACAGAGACACTCACCACACTTGGGCATTTTTATGACTTCTGTGTAACTGATTTGGCTTTTTAAAAATTTATTTATTTTTTTAAACTGATGTCTCGTTAAGATTCTCTTTCATTGTGAGATTGTTCAGCTGTAGCCAAGTTTGCAAAAGTGACAGACATTTGTTTCTCTCTGAGTATGATGCAAAATTTTTAGGCGTTTTGGATGTATGAATTCCATCAATATCATAAGATTAAGACAATACTTCTTAGGGTTGACGCAAATATTGATATGATTTAGTATAAGAAGTTGTTTGATACTTAATAAAAACTGCTAATAGCATTATTGTTCTAAGTGCTTGAAACTTTTGCACAGTACTTCACTTCATGAGAGGCTGAAGAATGAGAGCCGTATGTTTCTTGCCTGACAGCTAAACAATGAGTTGAACTGTTGTTGAGTTCATTTGGAAAAATGCCCACATCAAGGATCTGGTGCAGTCCTTCCTTTCTATTGTTACTCATTTGAGTCACTTAGCAATATGCATTGTAATACACTGTACAGGTACATAAAAAGTGATGATATCCGGCTTCGTCACTTCTTGTCCAGAGGCCAAATAGTCCTCATTCCACAGTCAATAAAATTTTAGCTACACTATGAAAGGTCTATACCACATTATAGTCGAAAACATTCTCAATAGGCAAAAAGTTCCACTTGGATAATGCCATTAAAAGGGGAAGAAGTTTCTTTAGACTTTGTGCCTTATCTTTTGTTTGTATTCCAACCTGACTTGTGTATTTAGCTTTTGTTGGCAAAAAATGTTTTATTTTGGAATTATGTTAAAATGGTAGGTAAAAAAGCAAACACTCTGTGAGCCGTATTGAAGAAAAACACTTTTTGAGCTGCTCTGACATCAGACAAATGCTTTGTTGCTCTGCCCTTTGTAAATGTTGAGCTACCATGTTGAAGATCATTGATGCATTAACAGCTGATAAATTGACCTCAGCATCTCAGTTTGAAAGTTTGCCGAAAGTAGAAATGAATTCCAGGTTCACAGGGCAACGCAACATGGAATTAATCTGCTGTGACTTTCTGCTGTCTTATAGGTCTTTAGATGGACGTCTGCAGGTGTCCCACAGAAAAGGTCTTCCTCACGTGATCTACTGCCGCTTGTGGCGCTGGCCAGACCTCCAGTCTCATCACGAGCTGAGGGCTGTCGACCACTGTGAATTTGCCTTTCACACAAAGAAGGATGAAGTGTGTGTCAACCCCTACCACTACCAGAGGGTGGAGACACCAAGTGTGTGCTGTTAATTGCTACGCCATCCAAATTACTGTATTTAAAATAATGCTTTTGCCAAACTGCACATAGAACTGAACTGGTGTTTTGTGTGTCTCCAGTTTTGCCTCCAGTCCTAGTGCCACGACATACAGATATCCCCGCTGAGTTCCCACCACTGGATGACTACAGCCCATCCATCCCTGAAAACACCAATTTCCCTGCTGGCATTGAGCCCCAGAGTAACTATATTCCTGGTGAGAAAAACTGTGCCACTCATTCTGAACTTAAAGTGTGTGAATTCTTTTTCTCAGGGATGATTTAGCTTGCGGCTTGTTGGGAGATGGCCTTTCCAAAAAAAATTGTGTTTTTGACTCGAGTGTTCACATTAAATATGCAGTATTATAGGAACACTTTGGAACAAAAGGGAGCTTGACAGTAAGCAATAAAGCCTGTCTTGGAAAATGCTTCATTTATTTATCGTAATGTTCTCTGTCGCAATACATAATAAACTTGTTGTTGTTCCTAAAGGCACACAAACTATGCAAGTTAACAAGTTTTAAATGTAATGTTGCAGTCAGGAGTGTGTGCTTATTCGTCTGTATTTGTACGTTACAGAAACTCCTCCACCAGGGTACCTGAGTGAGGATGGCGAGACAAATGATCATCAGCTCAACCACAGCATGGACACTGGTGAGTCACGTGACTGTACACACAACCGAAGCTCGTACTGTTGTAATTAGGCCTTATTGTGGTGACAAACCGGCCCTCTATTACCACTCTATTTCAGGTTCACCCAGCCTGTCGCCCAATCCGGTGTCACCCGCAAACAGCAATCTTGGTAAGCGAAATAAAAGCTTTACTTACTGAGCATATCATACATTATGCGCACGTATCTGGTTGCTGGCGATGGCATTTGGTTAAGTACATGTAATCAAATTACAAATGTTAGTCATTCATTTACAGTAATAGAACTTTTTTTTTATATCGCTCTTTAGTTCTTGTTGGTTGAGTTGTAAAGCAATACGTTGCTCCACCCCAACAGTTGATGGCAGAAGGGGGTTAGTTTGTATAACAGAGCAGTGCTGACGATAAGAATACTCACACACTATAAAATAGCATTTATGATTGAAGATGTATATATAGGGTAATGGATTGTTCTCAGATTTTAAACATATGTCCAAATCTGTAGGTGCTGATTGTGACCATGAAGCTGCACTTTAAAACTGAACCATTTATAGAAAATGGAAAAGGTTACATTGTCTTGTCACTGGAAGTAAATTGATAACTTCAGTCAGTACGGAGAGACAAAGAAACCACAGTGTAAATTTAAATTTCTGTGTGAGGCATCCTGGAGGCTCAGCTGGCTGGGGCACACAGTGTACACCATGTATGCTACAGATGTGAACATAGTTTCATACATGCAGGACCATTTCTGAAGACTTTCTAACATGAATCATCTTGCAGCTTTGGGCCCGTCCCTACCTGACTGTACCTGATGACCCTAGTTACTGTACACATGAATACGTGTCCTCTACATAGAGCACATGTCCAGTCCTGTTGTAACTGTTATCTCTATAAAATGTCTCCTATGAAGGGAACATTCTCCCCGGTGGCTCTCTTCAGTTTCCATTCTCTTGATTTACTTTTTTCTCGTGGACATTGCAATTTATCAGCATGGTGAGCAAAATGTTTTAACTTTCTTGGTGATAGAAAGTTCGCAGAGGATAAGATTAGAATGTCTTTGTAAGATTGAGTGTGTGAGCGTCTGTGTGTGAGACTGATGAGCAATATACAAGCAGTGAGTGGTCTACGTCTGGGAGGCTTAGCCTCGGGCCAGTAACAGAGTAAGTGTGGTATGAATGGAGGCTTTGTCTATGGTCTGTCCTCGTCTGTGGAAAGGCCAGCTACAGACAGCTCAAGATAATGCAATAAATATCCGGTTGCCAGGTTATTCTATCTATGTGGAAAGCCACCGGGAGGTCATTGTTAAAAAAATAAATAGGTACGTCATGTCTTGTCCGTTCCTGACTGGGGCCATGTGGGTCGTGGGAAAGAGTTTTATCAGCAGTTTGCATCTTCATAATAAAATGTTGTGGCCATAAAGCAATTTACCTGTACTCATGAACTTAATTCTCAAATGTCTCTTCATCTCACCACCTACCCAGACTTGCAACCCGTGACGTACTGCGAATCTGCCTTCTGGTGCTCTATCTCCTACTATGAGCTGAACCAGCGTGTAGGAGAGACCTTCCATGCGTCCCAGCCCTCCCTCACAGTCGATGGATTCACAGACCCCTCCAACTCTGAACGCTTCTGTCTGGGCTTACTTTCCAACGTCAACCGCAACTCAGCAGTAGAGCTCACACGCAGACACATAGGTACTCACTTCATTTCACATTGCCCATGTAACCTCTGATCCAATTTGCCTTTCATATCTGATGTAATCAGCAGGTTGTTGTCTGCTACAATAAAATCTTTTCTATTCCCTTTCCAGGACGGGGCGTGAGGTTGTACTACATTGGGGGAGAAGTGTTTGCAGAGTGTCTCAGTGACAGTGCCATCTTCGTTCAAAGTCCCAACTGCAACCAGCGCTATGGCTGGCATCCTGCCACTGTGTGCAAAATACCTCCAGGTCAGTATGAGACTGATGCATATGAACATATGAAACCATCAGGGACAGTAGAGCCATGAGTTCTAATGACGTCCTGACACAGACATCTTTTTTTGTTCTCTACGCTATTAAACCTAGTAATAAAAACTCTCTTTATCAGGTTGCAACCTTAAGATCTTCAACAACCAGGAGTTTGCAGCGCTGCTCGCCCAGTCTGTCAACCAGGGCTTTGAAGCTGTCTACCAGCTGACCAGGATGTGTACCATCCGCATGAGTTTTGTTAAGGGTTGGGGAGCTGAGTACAGGTAAATATTTTTAAGCTGCTTTGACATTTATTGACTGAATATGTTTTTAGTGTCCATGTAGCGAGCATGTAAAGATGTGAAAACTAAGATAGGCATAAGACAGTAGAAATGTCAACTAGTTCTTTTTGAAATGAAGCTTGGCATCAGATGCTAATACAAATGTCTAATATGTTCTTTGGTAATGGTTAAGAATGGTCTTTCAGTAATTCAGAGAAATCTTGAATTCAGTAATTAACTTCAGAAAAGAAACGTATGAGCACATTCATAGTTTCTTGATTTTTCACTGAGGGATGTGCATATGTCATTTTAATTTCTAACTAGGCGTTGAACTTTTTTTAAAAAATCAAAGTTATACCAGACACAAATTATTATTCAAAACAGTGTAGTTTTATATACTGTCAGTCAAACCTGGAGTGGCTCTTTAAATTCAATTCAGAGGTGAAAGAAAGAAGATGGATTGTTGTGTAGATACGGTAGCAGGAGGAAAAGGAGGGTGATGGGGGGATGGTGCAGCTGTGAGTTGGCTACAGAGGAGGAAGAATGCAGCAGGCATGCAGTGATGAGGGGGACATGGAGTTGGGGGTGAGCATATTTCAGACTCCCTTTGCGAAGGGGATTCCCACTGGACTATGAATGGTGCGTGTTGTATTTCTGGCACCAAACACCTCGGAGAAAAACATCTCTGGTAGAAACTTGAATGACTTCAGAAATAGCCTGCAGAGTTGGCTTCAGGGTTGGTGTTAATTCAACTAAAAATACTGAGTGGACTATATTTTTGCATCGACTGTAATGACGTGACATTAACAAAATACACGTGTCAGTGACTTTCAATCTATGATGCTGTGATGTAGTATTAAAAAATGCCGCTGGCAATAACACAGTGTTGCTCCTGTCCTCTTTATCCTGCAGGCGTCAGACAGTGACCAGCACCCCCTGCTGGATAGAGCTTCATCTCAACGGTCCCCTGCAGTGGCTGGACAAGGTCCTCACACAGATGGGCTCTCCCAGCATCCACTGTTCTAGTGTTTCATAGGAGCACCACTTGCATCCCAGCAACCCTTCTTCCCATCCACGCACTTAAACACCAATCATATAGGAAAACTCAAGCATTTCTCAGTAATAATAAGGAAAAAAACACCATTAATCAAACCATTCGAGCACCTTTTCCTCGCCGTCTGACCTTTTCATCACATGTATAGCACTTTCTTTAGAAACATTTTGTGTCTCCATTTAATTTTTGTTTTAGGTTCCTGTACGTTCTTTAGTTTTAATGTATTCAGCAGACAGCCACATGGTATTAACAGTAGATTTCAGAAGAAGAAAAGAAAAATCAGTTCTCTTCATTATTCATTCAGATGTTATTTCACTGCTTAGTGTTGTAGTTTTTTTTTTATTTAATTAAGAAGATTGAAATGTTTGTTTCCCAAGTTGAAGCTATGGAACAACTTCAGCTTGGCCATCTTCTACACGTTTCAAAACATTTTTGATTCTATGAATTAACTAAGATTATGAATACGCTTCCATCGTTGTCGTTTCAGTGTCCCAGCACCACTCTTTGTAATCACTGAATTGGGAGGCTTATTTATCAATTGAACCATGAATTTACATGAAAAATATCATTCGCTGTAGTGATTTCATATATTTAATTAATATTTTAAGTACAAGGTACTTTGTCCATATTGATTTATCTGCATTAATGAAAATGTCGATTATCTGATTGATCATTTAATTGGTATTTTATCTATTTTAAGAGAAAAAAAAAAAAGACAGCCCCATTGTTTCTGGAAAAGAACCCTTGTATCAAAACTATTTTGCTCAGTGAAAGAGACATTTTATAAGTTATTTTTGCATATTGTCCTGCATGGGAATATATTTTTATTATTGCCTCAATATGATTGTACATAAATATTTATAGCTTGTGATTTCTCGTAGTCATGCATTGCTTATAACAGCGGACCCGACTGACCTCTGGCATGGGTGGATTCACAATGACACTTTGCTTTAATGACCCAAAACTTGGCCTGCCTAAGTACGAGCTTTTCTAACCGGGGTCAGCTAGTTGTTACGTGTGACACACAGGATTACTGTACCAGCTATTACAGTTATTTTATAATTAGGGACTGAAATACATTATGTGTCAACATAGTGGACCGAGTGAATTTAGGCACCATGTGACTTCAGCGTGAAGGCTACTACGAACAAGACTGTGCTTCATCCATTGATGGCATGTGGAGTGAAAACAAAAATGCAGGTTTTCTCACGTATTACAAACTGTTAATCATAGTACACTAAGCTCCTTGTGGGTAAATGATGCACTTCCAGTTTACTGTGTTGATCAGTGTAAAGCTTTAGTTCTAGTGGTAATTTGCTTGTCCAATAAATACTGTATATTACATGTACATTGCTATGATATAAGGCATGTGTAATATGCTCACTGTCCTTGGTCACCGTCTTTGAAGCCACCATGTTAATCCTGCACTCACTTACAGTACATAAGTCTGAGTCACCATGTAATCTATTTAAAACAGTTACACGGTGCTACACTAAAACACTGTGTACTACAGCCGTTAGGTAGTTGGTAGATCTGTATCAGTACTTGTGATATTCTTAGTTGGTGGTTTTCTTTTTCCAAGTCTTACGTACATGTTTTTTCATGTAGCCTAATATTTGTTCTCCAATGACCATTGTTTTATCCGTGAAATTTTATTAAATTGCAACAGAGAAAAAAAAGACTTCTGCCATTTTTTTTAATAGAAATATTTGTTACACACAGTGACTGAAAAAAACAGAAACCCTTGTGCATGAATGCAATCTGATATTAGTGTCGTGTAATGTATGCCACCGTTGGGAAAGTGTCAGAGGTAATGAGTGAAACCCATATACAGCTGTGGTGGTATCTTGTTGGGTGACGCAGTGTGAGTAGGGCTGTAGCAAGCCTTTTACCAATCAATCAGTTGTTTGAACATAATACATTTTGATTGTTTGCCAAGATGATATCTTCAAATGTCACATAAGAGTAGGGAAATCAGAAAGTATTTAAATATATAGAGAGCTGGAATCAGAGTATATTGACTTTTTTCATAAAAATAATACTCAATGATTAATCAATTATCAAACACGTGATTAATTTTACAGCTGAGGACTACCTGATCCACTGTTGCAGCTCTAGTTGTAAAGTGTTATTCTGAATATAAACAACAGATGGTTAAACTAAACCCGACACAGCATCACGTCTGGACAGCTCATTTTATTTATTGCAGAGGTATTCCAGTGTAACAGGTATGTATTCCTATTTTCTTTTTTGATCTGAATGAGTTGGCAGTATGCACCCAAGTAGTGTGACAGTGTTCACAATAACCTAGCCACACTCACTGAAGAGCAGAAAGAAAAAAAAAAAATCACAAGTATTTATGTTGATTTATCTGAATACACATTAAATCTCTCACAACTCTAAGAATAAGGCACATTATGTAGCTTTATAATGTGTACCTGTAGACAAATACATAAAATCAAAGCCCACATAATTTCATTTCATGTTTTTTTCCGCCTGCAACACCATCATGTGTTGAGTTTCACTCGGGGCTAAAGCATAGTGGGGCCCCCAGGGGAGTAGGCTGAGGTTTAGGGCCACTCATTGGCTTCTCTTCTATTCAGGATAGCCTTCTGTTTTTCATGATACACCAATCATTTCATTCTAAGTATTAAAAGTTTCTAAATATGACTATGCCCACAGTACCATCTGTAAGCATCTCCACTTTCCAAGCCCAAGCAGGACGTCAAAGGGCGCTGAATCTTGCGGGAGCCCCGGGAAAGACAGGAGGATCAGGAGAAAAGAGACGTGAGTCACAGGCAGCTACTTTTAGCTTTCCTCGCCCGATGATAACCCATCTATCTCATCTTCATCACCACCGATGGCCATCCAAAACGCTTTTGCCACCTGGAAAGCAGATGTAGTTTAAATATCTTTTACTAGATTTACATAATTTATTGATCCAGCTGAGGATTTCCAGCAATTGCTCCAACAGTTAGGTTTCAGCGAAAACGAACAAAGTTGCGTTACCTTTTCTGCATGAACTTTTCTCTGCTCATGAGGTAACGAAGAAGCTTTGTCTGCAGATTAAAAATCACAGAAAAGTAAATCATGCATAGATAACATCAACTACACAAAGCTTTGAAGTCTACACCAACAATCATAAAAAAAAGAATAGCCTACCAAATTCCCTTAAATTTCAAGACGGAGAAAGCTTTGCATTTTGTTTTCGTTTCACAATTACCTTTCATCTCCTTTAATTTTGTGAAGAGCCGCTCAAAGTTATCCACATCTGCATCTCCAGCTGTGAGATTGGCAAGCTCCTGAATGTCCAAATCAGTCATTGCATCTGTGGGGATCAATAAAAGATATAGGTAATTGTGCCAGCAGCAGGATTTACGTAAGCTTGGGAAAATGCAGGAACACTAGTTAAAAAAGGATTCCATCAGAAGATGCTCACATACCAACTACTGTGTCCTCCTGTGTTTCTGCGTTTGTACTACTTTGTGTATGGTTGGCCTCCTCATTAACAAGTGTGCCCTCTTCTGGCAAGCTGGAAGACTGACACAGAAAAGGATCTGGGGTTACCACAAAAACTGACTTACAAAAGCATTTAAATGACGGCACGGAAAAGCAAGGAAGAATACATAAAAACACAATGGCAAATGTAAATACAGATCTAATTATTATTAACAATAAAAGGGCTAGAGTAAAAATTCCACTGACTGGTGAATCTTGGCAACTGCGTGGGTTGTTGTGTCTGGAGGCCACTAAGCTGCTCATCAGACCAAATCCCTGATTGTGCCCTGTTAGACAGAGATGAAAACTCTTACATGCCATACATACACAGAGATGCACTGAATATGTAACAGGTCATTTTATTGGTCATGTCATCTCACCATCCTTCATCTCCACACTGGACCACACGTTAGCATTGAGAGCCTGGACAATTCTCTTTACTCCTGTGGATTCTGGAAAGTCATCTGATAAAAGCAACGAAAGTCAGAGTGCAAAAATGACCAAACCATGAAGCATTACAATATAAATACATACAATGTCACTGTACTTTCTGCTGCCTGTAAAACTCACCATCCTCATCTGGCAGCTCCTGTGGATTGATCTCCACAAGCTCAAATGCATGAGCCAAACACCACTGTTGTGCTTCGTGCCTGGTGACCCCTAGAATCCATGTGAAATGTCATCAGTCTTGCACAAAAACAAAAAGGCATCACAATGTTTTCTGCAGACTGACATTGTCCACATAAAACTCACCATTTTCACAGACTCTGTCACACACCAGAATGAGAACCTCTGGAGCTAGATCTTCTACCACTGATATCCACGGTTGTAGCTTTTCCAGTCCATCCTTCTGCAAAAATCACGCACACACACTACACGTTACAAGCATATCAAAGGATATACTGCTAAGAATTTCAAAATGTAATTCATCATTGAGTCACATACCACTGTGCTGTCAAAATAGGCTATGAAAGCCTGCATGGACTGGGCAATCTCTGATGACATTTGGAAAGTGCTGGGTACAACGCATAACCTGACATCTGCTGTATAGTATTTGTTGTTGATCGTCCAAGGATACCACACTACCGTTTCCTCTCGCTTGGTCGGCTCGGGCAAAGTTTGAGTACTGAGGATCTCTAAAGGCAAAAACACATTCGTTACTCATCACACAAACAAAGACGTTGCGTTAAGCTAAGATGCTCAACTTGTTTTCACTGTGACCAGCTAGCTGTATACTTAACATGCACATATTGTTTAAGTGAAGCATTTCACTAGCTTGATAACATCGGGAAATGCGGATATTAACCTTCAGTACCAACATTTAGGCTCTTGTAAATGTCACCTACTATGCTAAGAGCCAGTTAGCTTTGTTTAGCGTTAGCCTGCTTGCTAAATCATGCACATTAGGCTTTGCTTCACTTACGTTTTATCAGCTCTTCTTCTTTAAACCCACTATCACAGCTAGTTACAAGCACACACGGAATGCTCATCTCGGTGTTGTCTTCTGTATCTGACATTTTTTTGTATTTTTTTAGGGAACGCTACTGTGGCTGATAGCTTAGCGTGCCGTTAGCCAACTTTGACAACCTTTCAACTCTGACGGAGCGACGGTCAGTTCCGGTGCACGCTCGGTCCGGTTACGCAGGAGTTCATAGCCTGTTTAAAAAATAAAAAATAAAAAAAGTTGATACTTCTATAATGCTAGATAATCAGTTTAATTCCCATTGTGCAGCTAAAAATGTAGTTTATATTACTGGAGAAATTCCTGTGCAAAACGAATTAACTTGGGCGAATTGTAGCCCTCAATGTCGCCTCTCAGGCAGCGCAGCGCAACCGTCCTCCTTAAAAACTAAACCACTCAATTTATAATGTGTGGTTTTGTATGTGGTTGACGTAATCCTATAGTTAATTAATTTTCATCTTCCATTTGTAAAGTTGGCTTGTGTTTTTTTTTTCCAGAGAAGGAGAGGGCTGACTGCCTGAGAGGCAAACTACGGGATAAAACGCAAAACATCTTTCGTCGTCATGGTTACGAATACAGTGTCATGAATGTTCATTAGCGACAAGCTAACTTGTTTGGAAACGATACTTAGCTACTACAAGGCATAATTATGATATATTGTTTAGGTTATATTATTCAACCCTGTGCTAAACATGTCTAATATTCTTCAAAATGAAGATAAGCTGGGAGCAGTTTTAGTTCAGGTAATGTTGTTTTAACTTTGACAGAGAAAACGGATTTTGTCTCGCTCATTCAGTTTTTAAAGTTAGTTTAAATTAATGTCCGCTAAATTATGACCCGGTGCTTAGTTAAATAAATATTAACGATAACTTATTGTTACATAAACCTGATAAAAAAAAATCTCTACTTTAGCTATTTTTTTCTTCTTCCGAGAAATGTAGCTAAACTAGCTAAATTAGTCCTCCTGAGATTTTTAGCTTTAACTACCTTAAGCGAGAGCGTTAGCTTTAAACTCATGGCTGTTTTTCCGGTTGATTAACTAAAGTATATGCAATGCAAAACTGTATATTGCAGGTTCAGGATGATTTAAGACAGCTCAAAGCAAGTCTTGAAAAAGTCTCTGCGGATGAGAGGGGCAAACCACTGGACATTCAGGCCCTGGACAACGCCATTTGTAGGACCGAGAGCAGCATCCGGGTGAGACAGCTTCATGCAGAATAAACACTTATCACAATAATATTAAAGAGACATCAGACAACTGTAGCAGAGTTGATTAGCACATCCTTTAATTGTAAATAGAAACATGCGGAGGATTATCTGACATCAGTGAATCAGCAGCAACTGGTTCTTCCCTGCATTGAAGACTTACAAAAGAAGACAGTTCAGATTCCTAAATGGTAAGTAGCTCATGTGGAAACTTTACTGACCACAGTGGGGATACTTTCATCAACCATCACTTCTGTACAACGTTGAATAAATATTTGAAAATTGTTTAAAAATGTTTAGAATTGTTATATATTCTGGAAATGGGAATGTGGAGCTTGAAAGAAAGATTTTTACACACAGGAAACCTTCTCTGGAGAGAATCCCAGATGTACATCCACAAAGAGAGGAACTTCCAGGAGCTTCACCTCGGGGAAAGGTATATGATGATGATGATGATGATGATGATGATGATGATGATGATTGTTATTATCCATGTTCAGAATGAATACATATTATATTGAATAAGAAATATCTTTTTTTACATTGTGGTATTAGGTGCAAACTACAACATGTACAGATAGTAGTTAGTTAGAAATCTATCCATCCCATTGTATTGCACATTGAAACGGATAAGACAGACAAATGTGGATTTACTTTATGAGATGAGGGAGAAACACATTTTTCTGCTGAGCTGAAGTATTCAGTTTAGACATCTAATTTGTTTCTCTGCTTCTACAATATGTCTTTTATATTTACATTTTTAAATTTTGTTTTTTATCGGTCTCTTCTTCAGCATAGGTTAGCAGTGAACATGCATCACCCAAACAGCAGAGTCATTAAGCACCAGAAATGTGGGATATCACTCCCTGATGTCCACAAAAAGAGCACAAATGCAGTAAGTAACCTTTAATAAATGCAGAATAATTCAACCTTAGCTGTAGATTGCCACGCACTTTTCAAAAAGACATATAGAGGTATGTAGTTGATCTCATACACTATAAGGGCTGTTAAATTTATTGATGATGAAATTAGCGTTAAGACATAAACGTGTGCAACTTTCATGTCAGTCTGTGATATTCACAAATTCGTTGTTCTTATTGTGATCTACTGTTTAGTCCAGGTAGGTTTAAAAACAAAAAAGAAACTATGAATTTGCTCCTTCACTCAGTTCTGCCCTGGAGCCTTTCAGTCTGAAAGTTGATTATTTCTCCCAAAATTATGTACTGCAGATTGTCGGATTGAATGGCCTACACGGAGTAGATGACAGTTAATTTGCTGTGTCTTTGTAAAACTGAACAGTCAAGAGAATTCAAACTTTTCATTCGTTGCACAGATCAGACTACACATTTTGTATTTATATTTCACATATTTTGTCTTTGTTAGTTATGGGGCAGTTTTTTTTTTTCTTCACAATTCAATGTCACTGCTGGAAAAGACACCAATCAGTGCATGAAGTCTTAAACTATAATCAGAACAATATTATTTCCTCCAGTTGTTTGCTTTGTAGTGAGAAATTGATTCCTGTGTCACAAGTCTTTGATGTATTATAAAAAATATTAACACACAGCACATGCCTCGGGAAAGATTTGATTGGGAGGCATTGCAAGTTTCTGCTACAACTAAGATGAATTGGATATCATTGTTCCTGTCCCTGATACTTGCTCCCTTAATCCCCAGAATAGACACTTTATGCTGGAGTGAAGAGTGATGGTACTGGTCTGCATTAATAGATGCTTCAAGTCTCATGCTCAGACAGACTGTGACATAAAGGTCACCAGGTTTAGTGATGACATCCAGCACTTGTCACAGCAAACAAATTAATCTTTGCAAAGGTCGGCATTAGTTTAGGATATATTTTACACACTTTCTTTTCCGATATGTTTTTGGGAATCTATACCTGACCTAAGAAATAGAGGCCAAGACTGTCACTCTGATATAGGAGAGATGGAAGTGCTGGCTGCAGAAAGCGGAAAGCACCAGATTGCAGCACATCAGCATTCTTCTAAAGAAACAGGCGCCTGATTGCTGTGCTATGGGCTACTGGTTTACAGCTGTCTCAAGACAGAAGTGGGTACCTGGTCCAGCATGCCAATAAGACAGCCGTAGCTTCCCCAACTGCTAACCACTGGCTCTCTGCCTGCTGCCGCCTCCTGCAACTCTGGCCAGCTCTTCTCTACTCCGTACCGGTGCCAGGGAATGAGCTTTTGCATTTTAGCAATTTTACAAAAGGTGCCACCTTTTCCCAACCCCATCTGAAACAGATGTGTGCCTTTGAGGGGAGAATGTTTTAGCACCTGGCTACTACCTGTGGTCTGTCAGAGAGCTCAGTGGTCTGAGAAGAACGAAGGAGAGGACATTAGGTGACAAGTCTGGAGGAGCAAAAACTTTATGTTTTATAAGTAGTGAAACATTTGAATTTAGTCATGAATAAAAAAGCTAAGGCAACAACAAATGCATTTCCCTGTTTGTCTTAAAACTGGCTGATAAATCTGCAATAATGATAATCATAATAATCTTTAAATTTGTGTTTTTGTGACTAATTTAGGAAAGTTTACAGCTATGCCAGTGGCACTTTTATGGCTCTCCTAAATTCTTAATGAATGCCAGAAATCTGTTGTTTGTAATCATGCGTGCTATTCCAAGCATCTCTTTTATACTCATTCTCATAGAAAGTTATGTTCCTCTTACGTAACTGAGCTTGCATAAGTCTAATTGATGGTTGGTTGTGTTTAAAAATATGTCTAGAAAAGAATGAAAAGCTGGCTGCTAAATATAAAGCTTGTTTTTGCTTTTAGTTTGATGAAACAAAGGTCAGCTGTTGCTACGGACAGCAGCAGGACATATCAGATTGCATTGTTTTGGCTTTTATATCTGATGCACAACGTCTAATCCTATGAAAATGTTCTACGTAGGCAAAACATGGCAGAATAATCACTGGCTCAGTGGCAAGACTCCAAACTATTGAATCAAAAGGTCGTCGCATGCCGGGAATGCCTGAAGAAGACAAGCACAGAGGTCAACTGATGTACCATTTCCTCTTCACCACATCACCTCTTATTATATACTATACCCCAGACAAATGCTCACTGACAGTTGTTGTTTGTTTTATGTTTGTGGTATTTGATTCGATCACTGCTTCTATATTACTTCTTAATTTAATGGCAACTGGAATTTATATTATTGCTTTAAATTATTAAGAATTATTTTTCTAATAACATATAGTTTTTTCTATATCTTTCTTAATCCATCACATTTTTTTAATGCACTTTGTCAGCCTTTCTTTTTTGAATAAGGACAAGCCCAATGTTTTTAATACATTTTTTAAATTTGTCCCTTTTTTTTGTATTTTCAGTGCCATACCCAAGTTTGCTTTGTACATCAATACAGCACAAGACTGCCTCTCGTCATCCCGGAGAGGATTCATATCCTCCTAAGACAGGTCAGTGCTCCACTGACTCCACACAAGATGATACCTGATTCTACTGATTAGGTTTTTCATATGAATCTAGGATTTCTGTATTAAATATTTCTGAATGCCTCCAATAGACAAAAACATTATGATAATATTGACTGGTCTATGCAGTCTTTAATGCTGTGGTGAAAAGAAGTTCTGCCTTTGCAAATACCAATTACAAACACCATTTTTAACACGCTTGCCATGGAAGCCTGATAACAAAAGTCCTACTCATTTGGCAGACCAATATTACCCTTCTGTGTAGCTCTCTGGCCATTTCTCTCATTGTTTTGCATTCTGTTGTTGAGGGGGCAGCTGCCGACTGGTTGCTACTGATCAGTCACTGTTAGAATACAGTTGAGCCAATCTGTGAATTTTGTCTTCATAGGTTCAAAGTGGCATAAAGAGCTAAAATGGGAAACAAAACCCGAATCCACCTCTGTAACAGCAGACAGAGAATGTGCACCTCTCTGGAGCACCAAGACACCGCCTCCCTCCACAACCTCCAAGAGCACGGACCAGAGAGACCAAAGAGACAATCTCATCTCTGGAAGCCTTCAGGTGTGAACACTATAATAGGTTGAAGCAGATTTTACACTAAATTAGAAAATATATTTAAAAACAATATTTTCATTTATTTGAACTGTATTATCAAAGTCAAAGTTGGTTGCCTCTCACTTGTCCCCCTGTGCTCTGTAGAATCTACCTGTGCCAGCGTCTGTGAACATCACCAAATACCCCTTTACAATCATAAAGGGACAGATCGACCAAACAGCGACAGATTTCTGGCACTTCAAGCAGAGTTTTAGTTTGTGCTGGACCGGTGTGGTCAATGCTCTGGGGGCCCTGGAGAAACTGCTCAGAGACTTTGCTGTGCCTCTGGCAAAAGTGAGCGGAGAACGGCTGGTGGAGTTTAGCCATGGTTGGGATAACGGTTGGAGAAAGGCTTCTTTAGAGAGCGGTCTCCTCTTCGTGCTTGAAAACTGGGAGGAGGTATTAGGTGTGGTCATACGCCCAGGTCAGCGCTATAAAGGAGAGGGAGGCATGGAAGCAGCTGCCATCCGCATCCAGTCCTGCTGGAGGCGCTACTCAGCCCGGACAGCCTACCTGTGCCACTGCCGGCGCAAGTGGGCGGCTGGCACCATCGCCATCTCATGGTTGATGCACACTCAGATGCGTCGTGTCAGGAAGGCCCTGCAGGCCCGGCGTCTCAGTCAACTGGAGAATAATCGCAGCAGAGCACAGGTGATATTGTTTATATCAAAACTCTATCTGTCTTCCTCTGTCACTCTCTTAGTTAATATTGCTGTGACACCCTTTGAGAGCTTGACTTGTTTTTTTTTCCTGTTTTCTCTAGTTAGAGTCACATTTGTATATAAATCCTTTGCATATATAAAAGGGCTCTGTTTTATTTAGGTGATCTGCATAATCTTGAAAGGTAACTTTGTGTTGCTGTAATTTTAAAAATGCAATATCTATTTAACACTACAGGAGAAAAAAAAGCGCCATTGTTTAGGCTAAAGAGAAAATTCTGTTTATACAGTTCAGCTGGTTACAAGTCAAAGAAGCTGTGAGGCACGTAAACTGGAAAACATCGAGCTGCATCCACTGAAAAAATGAAATGACATGCCAGAAATATTGCACATAGTATAAAGCCCCCTTTTGATAAATTAAAGTGTTTTCGTTCATGATTATGACCCGTTTGACCTCTAGAAGGCTGTTCATCAGGTACTTGCAAGCACAAAATATCATTCAGAGCAGACTATTTTTGGATGTCCTCCACATACATGGACCAAATCTTTATTTAGATTTTAAAATAATTTGTGGTAGTGTTAGACTCTAAAATGAAAACAACTATTTTGGGAAAATTATTGTTTTCCATCTGAAATTATTGAAAAAGCTGTATCATAATGTAATAGACTGGGAAATGAGGAGTATTTATAAAATATAAGCCATACTAAAACTGATTTAAGTTGATGCAATTTAAATCTCACTTTAGATTTAATAGATAATAACAGTCAAGGTCTTTGATTTGTTTTGTGTTCAATATCTCAGACTATTTTACCTTCTTTCTGTCAATATAAAATAATCTTGTAATCGTAGACACGTGAAATGAAATTGTGTTTCTGCTTCGCTTTTCAAGAGAGCAGTATGACAGCACAATTGTCTTAGGTGCATAATCTCCTGTAATTCTTTTCCCATTCAGTGTACATGTCATGTCTTTGCTGTCATCTGGGCTGAACATCTTTTAGAGGGCTGACACAATATTAATTAGTGCCTACAAGTTCATTTAGTTTTAACATCGTTGTGTGTGTATACATGCACTAAATGTATGTTCTCACTCTTTAAACATTCATACCCTGTTAATTAAGCCTGCTAATCTTCCCCTGGCAGTAGCATCATGTACCTTGCTGATTGAATTAATTGTGAGAAGATGTTTCTAAAGTAAACGCTTAATTTAATTACGGTGGTATTTTATGCTTGGTTTGCTTCTGTGAGCCCAGAGAGAGATTGGCTTGATGTGTTTTAGCTATGCAGTGATGTGATGATTTGTGTGTGTGTGTCTGTGTATGTGTGTGTGTCTGTACGCTCAGGCAGTCCCCTCTCTGATCACTCCTATTCTCCATCCCCAGCATCTGGCAGCCAACTGGAAACACATCCAGTCCTCCAAGAGGACCATTATCCACATCCCTTCATTAGGTAGCTTTCTTTGCCTGCTGCACACACACACGCACACACACACACACAGACATGCATACACACACACACACACACACACACACACACACACGCATACACACATCTGATCTAGCAGCAGTCATCCCCAGTCTCACCACTCCGCTGCCCCAGTCAGTGGCCCTGGTGTAGGCACTCTGTCTCGTTCAAATGACTCTCTGCAGGAAAGCACTCACAGGATGATGACAGTCCCCATGCCAGGGAACTGAACAATTTAGTCTCAATCGCCATTTAATTTGCAGATTAAGCAAATGAACAGCCATTATGTTGAATATTTACAAGAGGCACAAAGGTCCTGTTTTATTGCTGTGCAAAAAAAAAAAAAAAACCCCACACACACAAAAGAAGGAGAAGCTGCTGTGTTTTTACACTAAACATGGAGTGCAAGCTATGATCGCTTCTTGTTCTAATTTCGCTTCACATTTAGACTGTAATCAGGCATGTGCATTGTAAATCATTGAGCGATTGTCTAAAATTATTAAGCCTAATTACTAGCAGATGGAATGCTTTATTTGCACTTGGGGTGGCTACAGAGAGTGCTGTGTGAGCAAGGATAATTAGAAAGTTGAACCCCATTGTTGTTAATTAGCATGAATCCAATCATTTAATTACCTTGATTCAGTTGAGGATTCTCTCTCAGGCAGAAATCCAGACATACATAGGCTAAAATCCTGGCGGTATCACTAGATGTAGTTCAGTGGTGGCTGGACATGGTGCAACAGGACTCCCAGCGCACGACAGACACTGCACCTGCTAGTTATTAAGCTAAATTAATCATTGGATTGCACAACAGCGTGATTAGACTTAACTCCCTTACGCCCAAGTCTAGTGACATCTGAAGGTAGTTTTTTTTTTAATCCTGTAAGAGAAGACGTTTAGTTTTTGTGACCTTGTTTTTACAGGATACTCTCAGAGCCAGCGACTGCACTTGGGAGAATTTGATGTCCTACAGAATATCCAGATAAGTAGAGTGTGTGATATTAGAGGTAGGAGCGTCTGTATAGATTAAGTTGCTCTATATGCTTTACTGTAAACGTGTAATTTATAAATCGTCTTTGTATAATTGTAGATGAAAATGTGGAGGTAATCTACGTTTGTCCCCAGCATTTGGGGGACAACATCTTGGACTATTACACCAGCTTCCTGAAGTGTGATGGAGCCACAGATGGGGCTGGTACCAGAACAACTCGGGCCTCATCCTGCAGGAGACGCTTTATCATCCTCACACCTGAGGCTGTAGATTGTTTTCCGGTAAGGTTGATCATATTCACAATTTTTTTTTCACAAATGCAAACTTTGAAATGCCATCATGGCCGTGTGAATTTCCAGCAGAATGTGAGCGGAACTCTTCTGTACTATAGAGATGCCACAAGCATTTGTAGTTTGTGAATTCTCCTCTAGAGGGTACTAGAGGAGGTTGTTCCCGTACAGTTGCTCCTGAGAGTCACACTCTGTCTGTTTAATATTTTTCAATCCTTTTACTACTTTTGAGATGAAACCTCTGTGTTATTTTGAAGTAAACACACAACAGCTATATTAGGTTAATTAAAATATATGTAATGATCTCAAGCTGTTGGTCAGTAGGTAATTATATTCCATATTAGCAGGTTTAATTATCCATTCATTTCATCTAACTGCTGCATTTATAGAATTGTTTTGATTACTTCGCTACTATAAAATCAAGGTGCTGCTATATTGTCTTTTTACATCTATCTATTGTTTCCATCTTGTTACATCCTTTTGTGCTAGATTGAATGTGCAACATGACATGGTCTTCTTCATTTCTTTTTATTGATTTTCCTGCTGTTTTGTTGTTAAACTGTGCCAGACGTGTTGCTGAGATGAATCACTGCTACCCATGGCTGGCAGCGCATTCTGCCAGTGACAGAAGGGATAATTCCATGTGGATCAAATAAATACAGATGTGAAGTAATTAGTTGTATTCCCAAGGAGCTCATTGGTAGCACACATTAAAGATGTGAAGGATAGGGGAGGCCTCCCACAGGCAGCTTTTATCAATTCAACCTGCTAGAATACAGGAGAGGTCAAAACCCTGCTGGCTATTTCAATAATAGATCTGTTGTGTGTGTACACAGTGATAAATCAGGTCAAGAAACAACCCTTAGAAGAGACACTGAGAACGCTCAGCTCGAGCAGTAATCTTTCTCCCCTGTTTTCTTCCAGACCCATAACATGTGCCTGTCTACGCTGCTAAAGTACAGTCCACGCACCCTGAAGCGCATCAGATACCTGATTCAGGGGAAGCAGGCCTATATTGTGGGTGGGGTGGCCCATGTTGATGACCTGGCAGTGGCTGATGAGTTGGGTGTGCCAATCCTGGGTCCAGAACCAGCTATTGCACAACTTTACAGCACGAAGTCTGGAGGAAAGAAGATCTTTGCAGGGGCAGAGGTTGACGTACCTCCTGGTCAAGGAGACATCTACTCACTAAACCAGGTCAGAAACCAAAAACACAGTTGTGTGAACATACTGCATTACCTTGAATCCTTCAACATTTTTACCATGACCTTTTTCTTATATTATTTTGGTTGTAATTCACATTTTTCTCTTTTCCTTTAGCTTCATGAAACGCTAGCAGAGCTTATGACCCAAAACATCGATGTGCAGCGCTGGATCTTCAAGATAGACTCTGAGCATGGTGGCCGTGGTACAGCATACTGTGATGTTTGTCATCTCAGCTGCTTTAACTGGGCCCTGCAGGAATATCATCGTTATGGTCCTGAGCTATGGAACTCAGAATGGATTCAGGTAAAGATATAACTCTGAGGATTGCATCATTCCCTTCTTGACATAAAATATTGGATCACACCTTAAAGCACATTTTATACACTTTTATGCAATGTTTTATTGAATTTACTTGAATTTGGGGTTTCTGTGTTCTCTTCTGCCTAAATTATTGTTTTATAGTATTATGTCTTGTTTTTATGAATCCTTTCAAAGCACTGGTTCTAGAAATGTGCAATACAAATAAAGTTTATTGCTACCCTCATACCAAAAAATACCATTACCAAAAAAATCTGCCATTTAAGTTAACCTGGTAACAACTAGATATTTAAGAGCTCATATTACAGTAACAGATAGATATTAAAGTTGAGATTGTGCCCCTTGTTGAGATGAGGCTGCTCAGAAAAGGATTAGAATTACTTTTGTCACTGAAGAAACAAAGGCATAGGTCGCACTGGGGTCAGAGAGACGCCATCATTCAGCTCGGAGAAGGTTGTCTAAATGTATCAGTCACAACGCTGGTCCCTGTAGGACAGTATTTCAAACATTGTCCCCCGAGCTTCAGAGCATCAGATCAATGCATAAAAGTTCTGTTTATACACGTAGCCGTTATCCATTCCTGAGGCACAACCATCAACTAGAGATGGTGTATTGGGGACAACAAAAGCAGCTCAGTGGTAGTGACGCGCTTACTCACCTGGCAGTGACAAAGAAATCGCAGTGCAGCAGAGTATTTCTTATTCATATGTTTTTTTCAAAAACTGTTGAAGATCAATGTCACAGGATGTACAGCTGGTGTCATTTGAATTACAAATGTCATGAAAGTGCATTGAAATATAAATGACACCAGAAGCTGAGGTTTTAGCTTTTATCAGCTGTTCTATAATTACAACACTGAGATCTCTGTTTTTGTTTGTCTGTAACACTCATTAGATAAGTCTGAGCCATTTGTGAAATAGACAGTACAGTGCTATATGAACATTTTGTTTCCCCTAGAAATATAAATTGTGATTTCATCTTGGACATGTTCGGAGCAAATTAAATGTAGTTAATCACTGGTAAGCCATTCATTTACTACAGATGCAATCTGTACACAGCTTCTGAGCCCCTGGCTCTTATTTCTCATATGCTTACAAAGTAGCCTTTGATTTTCTGTCATGTGTTAATTACCGTATTTTGCCATTTAACTGGGAGCTTTGTGTAAACTAATTACAGGCTAATGATTGTGGGCTTGGAGCACAACGATTTTACTTTTTATTCCATTGGAAAGAACAGCAGTCATCTCAAGCTTCTTACGGCTCACTCTGTTTTGTTCCTATTAGCTCGTTCTTTGATTCATAGTGTATGTGTGGTGCGGGGCTGTAATTGTTGTGGCTTTGGTGCTGTTAATTATGGCAGAGAGAGGCTGAGCCACAGCCAAGGTCCATAATGGTGGCTGAGGCAGCACAGGAAAGTAAATGGGGTTTCTTTCACCAGCTGGGGTCCCATGGAGAGGGAAGAGTGCCGAGGCCCCCAGTGTAGGCCGACAGCCTCAGGGCTTCTGGGCCATATGGACACAACACTTTAACTGGCCTTTATTCTACACCTTGCTCTTTTAATCAAAGCAAAGCCCACATCCTGTGCTCCTCATTGCATGATTTTTTTGTTACGACATTGTTTTCCCCTAAAATGTATTAGCCCCGTGAATGTATTACACAGTCCTTCTGCTGTTGTACTAGTTTATATTGAAGAGAGCAATTTGGCTCTCTATGCTGAAAGATTACAGAACAATGTTGTTGATTAGATTCAAACGTATGAATATTTTATATTAGTGTATCTCCTCGTTATCTTCTGCTCACAGCAGAAACTGTAGATGGATGTTTAAAGTTATCAGTATATTTTGAGATATAACACTCATTAATGTAGCACTTTGCTGAAACGAAGTAAACCTAATTGCGATTGCAGCGACAGCTACTGAACAGGATGGATACTCACACTGTGGAATATTTGCGCACATTAAAAGCTTTCAGTTAATAGATGCTTTAAGCCACGGGTATAAAAATAGTAGTAATTTAATTAATTATTAACAAATACAGATGCTCAAAATGAAGCTTTTTAATATTAATTCATAATTTAACAGTTCTTCACCAAGATAATTGTTTACCAATAAATAACAAATAAGTGATGATTAAAGTGTATATTATCAAATATGTGTCACAGTTTAGTGGAATGGCCCATACCCTTAATAATCGCTATAAAAGTAGAGAGTATTAGTGACATTAGCCTACACAGACTGCATACATATTTTTTAAATTATCGCTTGTTCTGAAGGGCTCAGTATGAAAAAGCCTGACTCACAAAAATACCATGTGGTCTTTCAGAATAATACCAACAATTAGATCCCTTCTGGCTATGCAAAAGAAAGCCTAAAAGGATACAGCAAGGAGGAGGAGGGATTGAATCCACACGATGGGAGCTTCCAAAGAGGTCTATGAAAACGTGTGTTTTTCTAAATATTGTGAGGCCCACAGCTTCCAGCACAATGTTGCAGCCTGCAGAAAGCCCCCAGGCCTCTTTTAGCATTTACACAGAGAGAGGTTAAAGACATGTAGATCTGCAGCCATGCAATGCCTGAAGGGGGCCATACACACACTTTAGCGCTCACACAGCTTGCATATGGATCATTAGGCACAAGAGGGTAAAAATTACACCTAATAGCATCAACAGATGGAGTATTTCTTTTTGTCATGCTGTGTACAAACAGATCTTGAGCAACACCTTATTTAGGTTAAGTTTGTCAACGAAATGGGTCATTTGATAATCACTACCACTGACGAGGTGGAGGGACAGTTCATGCAGATGTTTTTTGTCTAAATATTGTGCAGTCTGTGTTTGCATGGAGGACTTTAAATATCTAATGTTCGGCTTTAATATATGAATTGTAATTGTGTTGTATTTTCTTTTATTTTGTGAAGGTCATAAATACTTTTTCTGTAATGCCTTGGACTGAGAATTCAACCAGGCATGTGAAATTACAAAAGAAAGAACGCAAGGCTTCATTCAGCATCCCACATGAAATTTGTTTTTAACAGGGTTAAAGCTTTGGTTAGACAGCGGTACAGAAAAAAATATATTCATGCAAAATGTATAACTAGTCAGATTACATCCTCTTATTTCTGAGACTTACTGTAGTTTCTCAGTTGTTTCACTATGTAATGGAGAAATGGAATGGCAAATCAAAGAGGCAAGGCAACATCTGTTTTATTTATGACCAGATTGCTTGGCTTTATGTGGACACCAAGCAATGGCTGAATCCTATCACAGGGTACTGTACGCAGTTTAAGTCCAAATAATTTATTGCAAAATACCTCTCTTTCTTTTCTTCCTGTCCCGCTGTTTCTGTGAACTGCATAGGCAAAGTCCTGGGGTGAGCTTGCTCTTCCGTTGAGAATGACAACCGTTCCCTTACACTTTTTGCCGCACCATTGTGTGCTTTATGGTTTGTATAGGGGGAATCACTGTGTAGCATTTGACCTCGCCTCTTACAGTACTTGAATATGATGATGGCTGTTACATGACTGGAATATCAACAGCATAATCTCTGGTCCTGTCTCCAGTGAAGCCAGACAGCATATACTCAACATAAAGTAACGCTCTAGATAGTACGAGGAAAGAACAAAGACATTATTTCCATTCAGAATTTACTCATCTTTCAAACATATTTCACATATTTTATTGTGTATGGCTAAATTAAATTCCTGTCTAATGGTGACACACATACATTAGTAAATACAGAACTCTGTATTTAAAAGGAGCCCTCTTTATACAGTCAACACTGCTGGCTGTTGTTGTCAGTTGTGGTTTTATGCTATAATATATGCATTCTACAATGACTGTAAAATGTTCAGCAGAGTCATTGTTGTGAGTTTAGCTATATCACAGGTTTGTAAGAGGAAAGAGTACTTGAGTTGCCAAACTGTTTGAGGGAGATCTAAAACAAAAGTTAAAAATTAACAGCATAATTAAGTGGTGAGACCATTATGGCATTTCCTAGTTACAGAAACAAGAGTGATATCGATCCCAGTCAAGCCCTGATTGATCCCCAGATAGATGGGGTTAGCTTAGGTATTCATCAGCTGCCCAGTAGAGAGAGTTGTTATTGAGGGCAGGTGCTTCGAGGCTGTGAGTTAAAGCCATTAGACTCCTGAGGCCTTCTGATAATAGGCTGTCACTCACAGATAGACCCTCCCGCAGTATCCATCAGACACTCACACAGAAATTGAAGCAGCCACCAAAGGTCTCAAGGATAACAAGCAGTCACTGGAGTCATCCGGATAACACAAGGTGTTTCCAATAATGTATTCGACACATACAAAGCCTTGATAGAGGAACAAAATGAAGTAACTGTGGCTTGTTATCTTGAATTAATACAAAACATACATAATGTTCTCAGGTCTATTTCCAACTTGCTTTTAGCAGAACCCTAATGTGTACACTTTAACTTTCTTTTCGTAGGAGTCTGTACTGCTCAGATATTTAGATGAGATCCCAGAATGGCTAGCCCATTATGCCCAGCCTGCTAAAACGTCCTGCTATCCCAACTGGGCCTGCTTCCTGAAGACCTTCCTCAGGCAAGGTCAGACACCTATTGTCAGGCACTGAATGCAGTTCTATTGCAAATACACCCATATGAAGTATGCATTTCCTCTGTCCTTCCTCGTTCCCAGAAGCCGCCTTTGGGAACTGACAAATAATTTTATGTCACTTTCAGTGGTTGTTAAACAGCTGCTAACAGACTTAAGGTGTTGTATCATAGGTAGCATGTTGTTGAGTGTGTTGTAGACATTTTGTTCCTCTCACTCTGTGTCCAGGCGGTGTGGTGGAGGCCTATCCTCCTTCAGATAGCATCACCTGTCTGACAGTAGATCTGCTGCTGGAGCCTGCGGGGGAGGTGACCATGCTGTCTTGTGGAGACCAGCTCCATGGCTCTTGTCATCTGGAAGCTGTAGGTTCCACTGTTCCTCAGACCTCTGTACACCCAGAGACCTTGCACTCTATCTGCACCCGTGTGGGCCAGGCTTGTCTGCAGCGCTTTATCGTAGGTTATGTCTCCGTGGACTTGGCTACCTTTCTGGACCGCAACACCATGGAGCAGAAGGTGAGACACAGAGAAGGCCTTAGCTTAGGCTACCATGAGAAATATGATCAAAGCTGTTACAACACATATGAAAGCTCTCAATTTTGCCATATTGGTGGAAAAGATCAATTTTTGGGCTGGATCATGGATCCATATGAGCAGATACGTACCTCCCATACTGCTCCCCTGGGATCTAGAAAACAGACAAGGCAAACTGTGGGCACAGGCACCAAATGTGTCACAAGGCCATCTAATAAACTGTCAGGTCTTATTGTGTCGATACACTGATTCCACCATTTAAGGCGTGCCCTTTAACCTTACAATACAGAGAAATTCAGAGGTACCTATCCTTCACACAATAGGTCATTCTAAAGTGATTTGGCAGCTTCACGGGAATACCCTGTCAGTGTTTAACCCCTAGCTGCTTACCTGCACTGGTCTGATGAAATGTATCTTGTTATAATAGCAAGACTCCATGGTAGCCTAATGTCATTTGTCAGGATTAAGTTTTGTTGAGAGCTTCTTGATTTATGATATTTGAAATGGACTGGTTTATGATGGTTTAACCTCTGCTCCTAACATGTGGCTGCATTGACTGTGTATTGATCCAGAGCTGTAAAATGAAATGCTTTGTTTATAATGTGGTCTATAAAATACTAAACCTGCAGAACAGTGGAGAAAGTACTGGAGCTACTTTACAGGTTTACCAAAGCATAAAAAGACGTGAAAGACACAGACGTTTTTTTTCTTTTATTTAAAGCTCATCTCATAGCAGTACACCAGCTGTCATCTACATACTTATAATGGATTTTATTCAGGACAGTGCAACAAAACACCTATTTGCTTTTCCCTCTTTTTACTGATTTAGAGTAGACTCTAGCTAAGGGCACACTTGCCACTAGAGGGTAGTATCTTCTGGATTAGATGTTAATACACACAGTGTGAGTAAATCAATACTGCAATTTGTATCTTAAAACTTTTAAATAAAATTGCTTTTAGAAGAATTATTTCCGTGCATTAGAATTGTTGTTTCTTTTAAGATTTTAAATCCAGAGAGAAGTATATTAGTTGTCAGTAGTCTTAACATAGACTGTAGATTTTACAACATTGTATTCATTTCAGCAGAAAAAAAATATCTCAGTATTTTTTTTACATTTTACGACTATATATTGTGAGGCTGAATTGCCATTTTAGTGACAAAATTGTGACATTCAAAGCAGGAAATAATCTTTTTCTCAGATGTATCCGGGACAGAAGCTGCCCTTTTCTGTAACTGTTTAGAATGAAATAATGACAGCCCTAAAATTAATTTTCATCTTAAATGTTGAAAAGGATTCGCTGACAGCATAATTAAGAATAGAATATAAAACAGCACATGCTTCAATAGAGGCAGGAACATTAATGACAGATTCTTAACAATCTCCCCACACACACAAAGCTTAGACAGAGGAGAGCCACATGGGCAAACCTGTCTGGATTTAAACATCAATTTAGATTCAAACCTGTTGCTAAAAGCTGCCTACTTTATTTGATGGGAAGAAGTGGGTCACATATGTTTGCCCTTGCAGTCTTTCCTCACATTGTGGAACGGTGGGGCCCCAGCTGCAGCATCAGGGTTTTTAATGAAAATGCAAGGCAATAGAAAACAGGTACAATCCAGGCTTACATTTCCCACGGCTTTGTTAAGAGCGACAATGGGACGTGGGAGTATGAGTTTTAGTGAGTTTAGTGAATGGTTAGGTGGAGTGTGTCCATCACTCAGGCCCAGGTATCAACCCGATACATAGAGGCTTTCGTCTTCCCAGCAGTGGCCACTGTGCCCCTGCAGTGAAGGTGACTGAATGCAGGACATACTGGTGAACTGTTGCTCAGCATTTACTTTTCATGACACTTAATGTATATATAGTTTATTTGCTGTCAATCTCATGTAGCTTGTATGCAAAATTAAATCTTATTTGGAATTTACAAATCATAAGCAATGCCTAAATCAAATTTAAATATTCCTTTTTAGTTATTATATATAAATAATTCTTCTGGTTCATTGGAAGTATATTAAAGGATTGTGTGTGGTTGTGTTGCTGTAAAATGTATACATTATTATTTTAAACTCGATGATCGCAACTAACAATCTATTAACTAATTATTTGATGGACAAAAAAATGATCTGCAATGGTTGTTATAGATGAGCTGAATAATTATTTAGATATTTTTTATTCATATTCTTAAATTCCACCTTCGCTAATGTGTAAAACTGTTTGTTTTCTTTGTCTTATATTATATTAAGCTGACTATATCTTTCATCTTTTAACTGTTGTTTGGACAAAATAAGACATATAAAGATGCCACCCTGGTGTCTTTCTCACCATATTCGAGCATTTAATTGGACATGACTACTCAAGAAACACACTGTTCAATTATGAAAATAATTGTTAATTGCAGTCACAGATTGATTTCATTTTAGTATAAAACTAAATGAAGCCTTTTAGATAATTACTGTGCATGGTCATGTGTCCACGTGCTGGTGGAGATAAAGTACTCAGGTTACAGAGACTACGGATTCAGACAGGCAGCAATTTGCATTCAGTGGCAGGAGCGTTTACTTTGACAAATAGGAACAGCTAAAGGAGGCAGCCGACTGCCACTTAGTTATTAACAACTCCTTCACTGGTGATTTATTTGCCACTTTTGAAGTAAGGGCATAGCTATTAGGTTATTATTGGGAAAATTAGCCCTGTTTAAGCGGAAGGCTATGACCATACCTGACCCCTTAATATACTTATAATGATGCCATTTACCATACATATCTGAACTTTACTTCTCATCAGACCTGAGCCAAACAAACTAGCCCAGGGCAGACTGAAGCCAAACGCACAGGGAGGGATCTGCTTTGTGCATGTGTCACTGTACAGCTGAATTACTTAAATCTGTCAAACACACACCATTAAGTCTGTTTTCCCTTCGCCTGCCTCTCAACACGGATAACATTGTGAAGATTAAAAGGTGCTGACCCTTCTCTTTATAAGGATCGGTGGGGGAATTAGTTCAATGTTCCATTTTTGTAAATAATTGGAATTATTAGGTCTATAGTCTGGGTTTTTCTCTCCTGTGACACAGAGTTCGTGATGTCTTGTTTGCAGGTGTGGGCTGTTGATCTGGACATAACATACAGTGACCAGCTGGCCATGACCCAGATGCTTCTGATGGTGACTGGAGGAACACTGAATTGCCACACAGGCTGCTTAGAAGTGCCAATGCCAGTCACAGAGAAAGGCTGTGAACACCAGATTGCAGCCAAAGTACTATTTTATATTTGCTTGTAATGACAGTTTTGCTAATGTTATATTTTTCTTAAATAATCAAGACAATTATTTTTAGATGTGAGAATTTTAATTGTATACCTTTACAATTTTTCCACAAATGATGTTGTTTGCTTTTGTGTACAACAAGAAAGAAACGCTCCTGTTCCAAAGCAGTCTGAGACTTTAGAGGATATCCGTATCACTACAGTAATCACAAAGATAGATCAACGTTTTGCTCTTCATTATTGTTAAATACAACTAAATACTGTAATTACGCACTGAGCTCAATTGGTGTTTAGGTGCTGAATTCATTATCATTTTGATAGATGAGTCTAAATAATCAACACATTAATAATTCATACCATTTTCATTATGCATGTGTATGCATGCTTGAACACCTCATCAACCTGGTGCCAGGCCTTAAACAATAGAGTTCTTTTATTAGCAGTATGCCTGAGTTTACGCTTGTTAATCTGCGACTTGTATTATTTTATCAAACATTCATTTAGTTGGTGGCCTGGTGCTTCAGTACAGCAGTTGAGCCACCGCAGTGGTTAATGGCTTCAGCAGTGGCCATCATTAGGGACCTGCATATTACAAACACAATTAAATCCCTGTTGGACACTTTTATTGTTGTGTGAGGGCCCTGTATTTGACAACTGCAAACACACAGCCTTCACAGCGAGTTATGGGCCATCTCCTGAGCTCGCAGGGGCTTAGGCCTGCTCTTTTTGTCTCCCAAAGGTGGCTGAGAACCAGGAACATTTTTATCCTCTTAAGCCCTGCCACTTTTAAGTAATCAACCTCTCTAGTGTTACTTATGACACTCACAAGCTCAGAATCCGTCTATTATGGTGATATGTATTGTGCGTTGAGTGGTTCTTTTGTGCATTCAGTAATGCCTTGGTCTCAAATTGAAAGCAAAAAAAAAATTGCAGTCCCCAAACTGTAGTTTCTTTGATTGGTGTCGTACAATTAAGCTCATCTTGTGTTTGGCATGTCATCTAAGCATTAATTGTTCCTCCCCGCAGTTAATTAAGAAAGGCCCAACAGTTTACCACATGTGCCCCATACTCATCATGTTCACTAATCACACACACAAACTCAACAGTGACCCTGAGGACATGTGTGGGGCTCAGCCATCTCTGCTCCATCCATTTTACACACTCCATCACCTATTATACTTAACCCCCAAATATAATGGAACATACAATTATTTTTTTTCTTGGTTTTGATCAAATCTGTTTGTTTCTTGTTTTCTTTCTTTTTTTTTTTTTTTTTACAGCCTCCTGTGGGTAGCCGTTATGCAGTTATCGGGAGCCACTTGTTTCACACCAACCTTTCCATGTTGTACCATCATGTGTTCTTTCAGATGTGCAAGATTCAAGGCATACGATTTCATATGAAGGTACAAATTCTAAATGTTGCTTTCCCATTGGTCTTTCCCATTGCTCCTTCTCGATGCTTAATATATCCTTGATTTCAAGCGAAACTCCACAGATTTTACATATCAAAGTCCATTTACTGGTTTTAGGGTGTATTAAAGCATATAGGGGGGAAAAAATGTATAAAAATATCTGCAGATTTGGAATTAGATATATGTGAGTTGCTAAATCTCTGTAGCCCACTCCTCCTTTCTGATTGAGACTACATTAGCTGCAATAAGCATACCACAATGCAATCTTAAGCCTCTTTGACACAGAAATAATGCCACTAAGAAGACCCCCTCATTATGCCACTTTTGCTCATTCACACTGAACCCAACAAGCTCCCGCACAAGTGAGTGGCATGCCAGCATTGCACAGTCAGAAGTGGGACATGTAACACAACAACGCCGGTGTCTAGTGTGGTGTGTCCCACCATATTGGCTCAGCCTTTCGCATTGGCAGTCATGTTGCATTGTGGTAACATTGGCACCATGTTTGACAAGGATAGAGGACGCATCAAAAAGACAATCCCTGCTTTCAAAACACATATATTCACACACTCTTCTTCCTTTCAATATGTACAGCAGCTGCCTTATGGAGCAGATACTGTTGAATGCAGTGTGCACTCAGTGTCATCTATCTGTGCACGCTTTGGTGGATCAGGCTTGTTTAAGCTCATTCTAACTTGATTGTGGATCAGAAGAGCAGGTTCGCTTTACATACTACAAAATGCGACCACATGTAGACGGACATCCTGGTATTTTTGGCATATTGTGCTTGAGTATTGAGGTATACCAAGTGATTATCTGCCATTATTGATCGTATGATCGCATGGGTGTTAAAACAAACCTGATATCTCTAGTTGTGCAACTCAGTTTTGTTTTTTACATTGTTGAGGTATGGTAAAGCAATGCTAAATTGGTGGAGTACTCTTGTTAACACTACACTGTGATGTCGGAGCTCTGCTTTTCACTATATGTTTGTGACTTATTTTTCAGAAGAAGCAAGGCACAGTTTTTGCTCTTTATGACAACAGTAATCGAAGTATTGGAATGATGTAAGTAGTTCTTCATACCAAGTTCATACATAGTGGTGGAAACAGAAAGAAAGCTCTTTTGAATCACCTTGTTTTTCTTGAATTAAATTGTCATGAAATGTGATCTGGTCTTCATTCAAGTAGACAAGCACAATGTGATTAAGCTAATGACACACAAAAAAAATCGCATCCTTTGTGTCGATATTGAATACAGCCAATGAACATTCTAGTGCTAATGGAAAAAGTAGGTGAATTCTGGGATTTATTAACTGTTCCGACCTCCTTTTTTTTGATCATTCTGTCTCACAGAATATCTTCATCTCAGCCATATTCTTCGTATGTCTGATGATGTGAACATGTGTCCTGAGGTCACGCCACAGTACCTGTATTTGAGTTCTGATTGGGCCTCTGTAGAAGGCAGGTTTAGTTTATCGGAAGTGATTCAGCTGTATATTTAATACTGCTTAAGTCATTGTCCTGCTACATCACCCAGCAGACAGCCACCTTGACGTTATTCTGTAAGATAGAGGTTCTTTTTATGAACAGCAAATTCAAAATGTTATAATCTCCAGTTGTCTTTACTAATTGGACTCCAGATTTGCTTTTGCTGATGTCATTAGGCTGTAAGTTTCCGCACTACTCTGACTTAGAATGCAAAAAATTAAATTATGTACTCATTGCAGTCAACATAGTCATTTTTGTCATTCATCAAAATAAGTTCTGTTTGTTATTAATACTAATTGAATAAAGATGCACACATAAATGCTGATAATCACATGGTTCACTTACTTTTCCTGCTGTTGTATATACTTCAATAATTTCATTTTGGGTTCATCTCCAGGGCAAAGAATTCTAAGCACACATGATTTGGCTTCAACCGTCTCTGTTCAAAAATACAAGCCACGAAAGAACAGTTCACAAGACTGAGAGCAAAAACAATTCTTTAAGAGGATTAAGATGCCACCTATGGCTTTGTAAATGTTACAAACTCTAGAAGTTGTTAAGCAGAGGGTTATTTAACATATTTATCACGCAAATCCTTTAGCTTACACAGTGCTGTAACAGTTAAATCAAGCTGTGCTCATCCCCCTAAAGACTGAAGATGTTGTCTGCTGAAAGTTTCATTTAACCGCCACCATCAGATGAACAAGGTGATTGTTTCTTAGCTGGCAACATGGGGATCATTAGTAAACTCGTTTGTTTGGGGTGTCGTTAATAGAACAGTCTCAGAGGATCTCCAGGGAGCTCTCGTGACCTTTGCTCGGAATCTGTCAGTCATTCATCAGGAGATATCATCCTCTAAAATGCAAGGAGAAACCAATTTCAAGGTACCATGTTAATGACTTAACGATCTCTCCTCATCTATATCATGAAACTTGCATATTTAGTGAAGCTGCTGTCAGCTGAAAGTAATTTTTCCTAAATATAAAGGCTTTATTTTTATTCTCAGATGAACGATAATGCCCCCGTGGAATAACAATGCATAGTAATTTAAGTTTACTTCTATTTTCTTTTTTGTTTTGTTTCCAGGAGCTGATCAGTGACATGGAAGATGTACTGCACATGACTGTCCAGAACAAGAAGCAAATCGAGAAGAAACCTGCTGCTTAGACAGTTGCTTCACTAACAAACTAGTCCTGCTCTCGACAAGTTAAGTTGTCAGATCACACTGTGAATATGTGAACCCTGGAGATTAATAAAGGCTGATTGAACATAACTTGCCAAATACATTTCTGAAAGATATTCCCAGAATCTGTCACAAATCTAAATAATTATTGCTATTGGATGTATTTCAACAGTCTGCTGTCATATTAGAAAGCAAAAACTACACATGCAGTAAGCTATGCACAAGGTGTTTCCACAAGGGAGTGAGGGAGTAAGTTTACAGGAAGTGTAGATAAACTGTGTTACAGATGAGTGCATTGTGTAGTGTTACTGGACATACAGAGGTCTTCTATAATACATCTCTGTGGAAACCATTACTTTGGTTGATGAGGAAGTGATTAGTATTGACTGCAGTTTAATCATCAGAGGACTCTTTACAGTCAACTACAAGTAAGTTGACAGTTATATTTTCCTAAATACAGTGTATTGTTCCAAAAAATTCACAGTTTATGCTAACGTGCCACTTTTTTAGTCTGTTGAGAATTATGGTGATTACTTTTAAATTACATGCTTTGTAAACAGAAAAGCAAATTGCACAAATAAATATTTTAGAACATGTACACAGACTTTGCAGCCATGTTTGCAGGATGTTTGATTTATTTATTTTTTTCTTATCATCCAGGGGTCTGATAAAGTGAAACTGATCAGTCTTGGCCTTGATCTTGCTGCTTCTCACACCTCAACATGATTCAGCTTGCTGTAGCATTTTGTTATGGAAATACTCAAAACCATGTTATTTCCACATTCCTATATCATGTTTCCAAAAGTAAAATTATGAATTTTTGAAAATTATTTTACGATCACATGATTTAATGCACATTTGTTTTCACACACTATTGGACCCGAATATATTTAAATTCATTTAGATAGTCTAAATGGTCTAAAAAATAGAGACTAATCACCAACAAGAATTACACATTACTTTCTGTAGAATACCTAACATATGTGTTTATATCAGTATTCATAGTTTATTTATAGTTTATGTTTATATTTCTTGATAATTCTATATTTGCATTTTGTGGATTTCAGTTTTTTGCAGCATTTAATGTGACTCAAGAAATCTATGAGACTCAGGTGGTTTGTAGACTTCTGTCCATGGTGCTGAACTGAACCTTGGAGAAAAAAAAAACACTGAACCTTGGAAATATCTGAGCAAATGTAGTGTCAAAGTTGATTTAGCTTGAATATAAAGGAGAGTGCGGTGGTCATACACCCAGCAAAAATGTTTATTAAGACTGAGGTCAGCACTGGTCAAAGGTTTTAAATGGGGCAGTTTATGTGAATTCATAGCTAAAATGGTTTCGAAGTTGTTACATATTTTACTTTATATTTACTTTTATGGTAAATAATGGAAAAAATGGAAAGAAAATCAGACAACAAGGTGAAAAAGAGGAATATCTTTATCAGCAATACACTTATGTTGCTTAAGAAAGCACCTGTGAGTAATGTCTAAAATTGATAGAGACCTTGGGTTTTCACATGTTGTCTTTTCATAGGAGGTTTGAGTATCCTGCAGTCAGAAGAGTCTTCAGAACATATATAGGGTAATATCCAGTGAACAGGTGAGCACATGCTGCTCAAATGACACGCAGGTAGCAGAGGAACAACTTCGCAGAGCTGCGTTTCCACCCGGACGACTTCAGCTGAAGAACCAGGTCAGAGCAAGAAACACACAAGCCCACACTAGCAGAGGAAAGCTGCTCTTTTTAGAGGTTTAAGCTGATAATAATGAGATGTGTTTCAACTTAGCATGTGTATCCGAGGTGTAGCTCTCCGTAGCGAAATATCTTGAGCAGGTTTTACATTTCTAACCTTGTAAACCGGACTTTAGCTTGTTTGCTAACCTTAGCTTAGCTGCAGGAGCAGCTCTCATGTTAGTGACTTTAGTAATCAGTCGTTATCATGTAGCATCAACTAGCTTAAAAACACTGGCACATCTATGGCTTTCATAGGTCCGTCTGAGTTATTTGCATGCAGTCCAGATGCTAAAATACGAACCATAGCGAAGGTGACTCGTTCTGCTTTTTGCAGAAGTCATGAGGGACTTTTTGAGGAGGGTACATAGCATCCTCCTAAAGGTCGCTCTGTTTCCCAGCTCGTTTGGCCGCGCAGGTCCGCGGCCAGCTGCCTCCGAGGTCTTAACCTGCCACCTGCAGCAGCGCAAACTCCCGCCGTGGACTTCATACTGTGTCCGCTACAGCTCCGTTCACAATGACCAGTTTGGACTGTCCAACTTTAACTGGAGCGTTCAGGGATCCAACTACCACATACTGAGGACAGGCTGCTTCCCCTTCATAAAATATCACTGCACCAAAGCTCCTCCACAGAACCTGGACTTTGAAGACAAGTTTTTCACCATGTTGAAAGTTATTAATCTGGGTCAGTATTAAAGTTCTAGCACATTTCTCTCAGATGAAAATTATTATTGTTTTTTTTTCCCCCACCACACTAGACACTACATAACAACTGTGTCCTGTTATTGCAGGTATCCCTTGTTTGGCCTACGGCATCGGGTGCTGGATGGTGGTGGGAGCTGCAGAAACAGTACAGACAAGTGTTGGACCCGTCACAGTTTATTTTGCATACAAAGAAGACGAAGGTGCCCAGTACTGAAACAAAAAAAAGTACTACTTTTAATGTGTAAGAGGATGTTGTCTGCCAAGCTGCTGCATTTTTAAATTTCCCCCGGTGATCTTCTGCTGGAGCTATTGATGAAGGCGCCATCCCATGTCACCTGCTCTCTTGTCTTGACTGCAAAGGTTCATTTGTGTTTAATTATTAAAGATTTAAAGTTGCACTGGAGGAGTCAGTTATGCATGTCATTACACCGACATGCAATACTCAAAGTGTTTATTTGGACAGCTAACTTTCCATTAACGTTTAATAGAAAGTTTAGGATTTCTCCAAGAATAGGGTCAATGACTTTAAGTGAGTTTTTGCACTCGGTTTATTGTAAACGATTATTTTTGCAACAAGCATTTAAAAAAATGACTGAAAGCTGAAGATTTTATGGTTTTTAATGTACTTGTGTATTTAAACCTGTGATGGTTTTAGGATCAACTTTTGTAAAGTGTGCTGTAAAAAGGACAGATGGCATTTCCTTTAATGTTAATATAATTTATTTCAAGTTGCATAATTTATTTGACTCTGCCACGTCTCGTTGCTTCATTTTGTGTGACAAATACAGGAATCTAAATAGCCCCAGCTCATTTATTTAAAGTTAAATTAGTGGTCACCCTCCACGCAACAGATAGTCAATAGTGTTAGAGAAAACCCAGTGACAAGACAGGTCTGATAAAATAGGTTTTAATTACCAAAGTGTGGCCTTTGTAGAGAGACATCTACATCCCTTCCTTCAGGCCTTCTACGGCCTTTGATTTCTGGTAATGTGCTTTGCTGACAGGGCACGCTTACCCCCGCTGCACACTTCTGCTCCCTCTGAGAGGCAGGTTGACAAACTGCCATATTGATTTCTCCCCTCAGCATCTCCTACTAATAGCATTTATCAGCGACCTCAATTTTCAGGCCTTTGCCTCTTCATTTTTGGCGACAATGAAGCTGCACGAATAATTTCTTGTTGTACATGGAAATCAATGCACCTTTTGACCTTCTTTGTACTTGAAGTCTATGATGTCCGGCTGCACGCTGTCCCGAATGTGCGCCGCCTTTCTGAGTGTGTAAAACTTGACCAACCTGTGCAAGAATATTTACACATTAACGTGCCTAATCACACTAGCACCACCCGTCAAGAAGGAGAAATGGCTTTGCATTGTGGAAGCAATTACTGAATCTGATATTTAAGAGATATTTAAAGTCCCTGAATGTACAGTAGTTTACACAGCACCTCGAGAAAGACGGCTAGCTTCAGTGTTGTTATTGTGAGCAATGTAACCTCCGTTATGTGCAAACCTCATGCAGAATTCATGTCCAAAATCCTCTTAAACAGCACGATGACACCACACTATCGCTTTAATCATACTAATTGCCTTGAACAAGGAACATTTAGACACACTTATGGAAATCTGATCCTTAGTATCAGGCTGCACTTAAATCCCCCTTCTTTCATTTCCAAGCTTTCATCAGGACTGAAAGTGTGCATGGGGAATGCTCAGGCAACCATGTCTTAATTACTCATTGACCCTTTGACCCAAGAGCTGCATTGATACTGCTGTACAGCCAGACACAATTGCAAGGGGTTGCGACTGACTGCAGCTTTGTGTGCGGCTATTACAGGATGATGTGAGTCAGTGAAATCTAAACTGCGGAGCATGTGAGTACATTGTATTTGTTTTCAGGGCTTCACCTTTGAGTCACTCTAAACTGCAGGGGAGGGCACCCCTTCAGCTCGGCCAGAGGCTCAGCGTTACCTATCGAACCTTAGTCACCACCACGGCAGGTCTTGGGTATCTGGACCGCAAATGGACTTCTGTAAATTAACAAAAGGTGCCTACATTTGTTGCGAGATTGATGCCTTTTAATAGCCTTGGTAGTCTAGTCCTGTATTGAAGTGTCTAAATTACCCACCACACATCTAATGTGGTAATGAACAAAGAATTAATGCCTGTTTGGCAAGTTTAATTGCATGCTGGAGCTGGTAATAAGTTTTGTCAAGGTGAAATCTTTAAATACTTGTACTGTTTAGAATTTAGGTAAGTAAAGTAAAACAAGTGCTGAAATTGAGTGTGGTGTTGCTGTAAATTGTTAATGTTCAACAGTGAAATTGCTAATCAACTTGCAGAGACTTGTAATTATCTTCTAATTAGCTGATAAGTTCTCAGTTTCTTCGGTGTGAAAAAAGAAAATGGAAACAAAACACGTTCATCTCCTTGAAATAGTTGATGCAGCCGCTGCGTATAAATCAATTATTTAGCAGGAAAGTCACACCAGTTTTTCCTCTGTCATATAGATCTATGGCTTGGCAGAAACAATTATTGTGTGAACAACCCCTGCAGCTAATGCTGGTGAGGTTATCATTATTAAGCCTCTGGATCGGCCACCAGCACCGTCTCTGTGCTTGCTCCACGAGCAGCGGGGGTACCTGAGCCATCACTCAGATCACTTTAAGGATCACGCTGGAATTACATCTCGATGCGGAAGCGTCAGCCAACGTTGTCACAATATTTACTGTCAAATGGCACTTTTTGAATTACAATGTGACATCGGAAACATAAAACTCATTACCTCTCATGTAGAAACATCTCCTGTTGTAGACACTTTGATCTGCTTTTGAAGAGTCGTAGTGCAGAAGTCTTGTTTTGTAATCAGTTAAAGATTTCTCTGTAGTTAATAAATGCTGACCCCTTGTCATTGACGCTTGAAACACTACCTTTCCCTTTTCTTTTGGCAAGTGGATAGCCATTAAAAATCTATTAAGGTGTATTTCTTCACCCAAGGGATGACAAGGGGCACCATAATTCTTTTTTTTTTCTACATCCCCCTTGTATATGTGGGTGTAGGGGGAAGGGGGGAGCATTGAAAGACTATGCCCTCTGTGCCAGTGTTGCCAAAGCTACTGTCAGTGGGTGGCTGGAACGTCTGTCACTCATCTATTGTGGCTTTTCTGGTTCAAGACCACTTCCAGCTGACATTAAGACTAAGCTGCAGATTAAAAATAAATAAGACTGTTTCATCCAGATCACTTTAGCTTTAAAACATGATAACAAAAAGGCTAATTTTCTGTTCATAGAGTGGATATAAATTTCTAGTTATACTTCACTCTATCATTGTCTTTGGATATACTGTGTTTAGTTGTTGCCCTTAAGCTTGTGCACTTGTCTTTATGCCCAAGCCTCCATTGTTTTTTTTCTCTTCCAGTTCAACTTGATTGTTATTTTGCTTTTCTTTCTTGTCGATGATGTGGTATCACATTCACTTCATTCATACTTAATGCTTACTCTGTTGACATTAAGAGAGAAATGGATTTTAATAGTTTTTCCACGACTTATCGAGAGAGTGAAATGAACTATCCATTTTTATTATATATTATGCAGTATTTAAAGTTTCAGCTCATTAAAAAACAGACGCCCTCCGCACCCCCCAGGCTGTCTTTTACCCCCCACCAGCATGCAGTCAGGCTCCTCTAGCCACAGGCTCTGCTTGATCTGTTTTTCCTAAGTCAAAATTGAAATACTCGGAAATATTTATTTATTTGTTTATGCGTTTTTATCTCACCAAAGAGTAGCATAATGTCTTTGTAGCTTAAACAAGCGGCATCAGTGGATCCGAAAAAGGGAATAGTGAATGGTTTTGTTTGATTGATATAATTTGCTTTGTTGCATATATGTTTTTTTATTAGTCAGTTTCAGGCAAAATAGCATATATAAAGAAATACTGCAGGTGCTTAAATTTTGCATCAGAGCAGGCCCCTCTTGTGTTATTCGATCGCCGGCTTCTTACTTGCACAATAAGCAGCAAACCTGCACAGCAACTCCGTGCTAGATTGGGGATTTACATTAAATACACTGATACCGAGGCTGCATACAAACACAGAAATGGAATAAATCAATTTTGTTCTCAGAAATGTTTCACATACTTTTTGATGCAGTGTGATCTCCAATCTTTCTGCAAATGAGCTGCGGTGCCTTGTAATGGTTTCTGCTCCTCGTGGGAGGCCGGTGTCTCAGAAAAGCTGCTGATTGAGGGAGAAATGTAATACAGGTGTAAAGCAGACTTGATAGGGGTCTTACACGAGGGTTATGCATTTTAGCAGTGATATACATACTGTTACATATTTATCAAAGAATATGGAATTTGCTGGGTTGACTCTTTCTGGCCTGCAGAGATTTGCAGGTTTTCTGCTGGAGTGCTGTTAATTCTGTTGGAGAGGGTGGCTATTATGTTGAATTAATAGGAATTAAGGGTTTAAATTGGTTAAGTAAGCACTTCATTAATTGTGAGTGGGTTGCTGCGTGTGAGAGGTTTATATGTGGTGGAGACTGCTGGTGCTTAGATGAGGGAAAACGAGGGGGTTGTGCATTAAAAAAGTTGGTTGGTGCTTGGTAGATGTATACAAAAAAGACAAAATAAACCATATAATGTCATTTATCAAACAACAATAGCAGCACTATGGCATGTTGATTTATTCTCCATGGCTGCTGGTTTTGTACTTGAGCGTCTTTCGTGTAAATACACCATTTTTTTTCCCTGCTTTCTCTGCAAGACAAAGACTGAAATCAAGAGATTCATTTTAATTAAAGGCTCCCTTTAAATGCCGAAACCTTTGAGCAATGTGCGACTGTGATTGTAATCCTTGGCCTTCACTTTGGACGTGAAGTGAGCCGCTGTAAGTGAAGTTAAGGCACGGGTCAGTTGGAAGCACCTGCCTCGCTTGACGTGCTTCCCGCAGCAGAGGTGGACTAATTGAGGTGTGTTTTTATCTGGGCTTGCTAATGATGATGAGGGTGCAGGAGAAGTAGTCTGTCCCCTTAGGCTGAGGAATAGCATGACTTAGCCAACCTTCTGTACTTATTGTCCAACAAAGGGGGAATTCACTTAATGCAGTGCTTCAGAAAAGTGGATAATTGTGGCCACGATCAATAAAGTAACAGAGCAGAAAATGAACGGTGTGCGCTGTGTAGCTGCGTTGTAGATATTTGACGGAAATCGAACGAAGCGAGGCTCTTGTTTTTTTTTTGCGTTTGCTTCAGCCAAGTCATCAAACATGTAGGCGATTCTATCCGTGCAATGTACGAGCAGATAAAGCAGTACGTGTTTACTTTGCGTATGAGTAGCTGTGACTGTGACGGTGTGTGTGTGTGTTTTGCATGTGTTTGTGTATATGATAGAGGGGGTAGGCTTGGTTGGATGAGCCACATTGTTCCTGTGCGGCCTAGTGACATCGCTGGAGGGCAGAGAGGGATGGAACCTGAGAGGGGTGACAGTGATAAATAGCCCTTTTAATAACAGCTGCCCCACTTGGCCAGCTAGTCCCAGTCAGTGTCCTCTGTGTATTTATGCCTATGTTTATTTATGCATCCATAGCATGCAGGAAATCACCACCGCAGGGGTACAATCATTCTTTTTTTTGTGGTGGTGAGGGGGGGTTGGATTGCATTGGTTTAACTTTGGGAGGAGGTAAGCTAGCTCATCTTAAACCAAGCAGATATTCATTTAACCCCGATGTTGATCTGTTGG